TGTTGGACTTAAGACCTATCAGTGATGGGAAGGTTATTAAACCACCCAATAGCTTATTCACCAACCAGAAAGTATATTTAGTCCTAGACTAGCCCTAGGGTATAAGCATCGATAAGTTAAATAAACCTCTCAGTGTATATAGTCCTGGTGAACGAAGATATTGTCACTGTGAAGCTGTACGATATGGTGCCGTGCTCCTGGTTTACCCTTGACGAGCGGACGCCTGGACACCTGCTCCGCCTGAGGTCTACCGGAACACATGGCCAGATTTTACTCGCTGGCACTCGATACTGCCTTCAGGCGTTCTTAAGACTGATATAACTCGTTGTATACTTAATGCCTGGTGTTATTGGGAAGTTGCTAGATTTTTCTGTTTACTGGTTTGATCTCGTTAAGAGACAGTGCCCGGAGCCGGCTTGGCCAAGAAGTGCCGGGAGATGGCGAGCCTTGGTTGAATCCTGGTGTGACTTCACAACGTTGGTGGGCATCTAGTAGGAGGTCACTGAAGACTTTTTTTTTTTTTTGCCATCGCGATTTTGCCTTTTAAGCGCAGCATTATTAGACTACCTAAAGTTCACAGAACGCCTGACCCCTTATCATCTGGGGTCACACCTTCCCGCTGGTTTTCTGTTTGAGGTCCGGTCCGGCGCTCGCCTCCCCAGGCACTTTAGGGGCTCGCCAAACATCAGATGAACATTTTGTTTATCTCTCCAAGGCACAGCAGTTTTGCGACTCAAAAACTAGCCCCTAAAGTTAATTTTGGGCTATGTATACTAGTGTATATATATATAGCTTTGTGTTTTACCGTACACGGACACGCCTGGGGTACGTCCGCACTTGCTCCGTCGTGGCCCCTCAACAACGACAACAACAATCTGGTATAGTATATTGTTGCATCACGTTAGTGTGATCTCTGTGTGTAATGATGTAAGGGCGAAGAGGGAGAACGGCCTATTGATATAGCTCGGGTGCAGGGGGGATTTTTTATTTGATTGTTGCCGCCAAAGGCGGCTAGTTTATTGTGCACCCTATACTCATCCTGTGAGCGGTAGCGCAAAAGCATTACAGAGGGCACAAAAGGTCTTTATCAGACCTCATCTTAGATTATTACATAAACAATTTCATCTATCCTTCACACCTTATAGTTTTAATGTCAGCTGGGGGAGTTGTGTAAAATCCTGGTTTGTGCCTCGGAGAGGCTACGGGATCCAGTAAGTTCAGTAGAACTTCGGTTTCAACTCTTTTTACCCTGTCGTAGCTCAGTCGATTAAGGCAGTGTGTGGGATGCTCCCGGACGCAGGTTCGAATTCTCGTCACGGCCCTTGTGGATTTGTTCATTTAACAATCTGGTGCTTAAATCCTGCAAGGTTAAAATTTTAGTTTGGTGTCGTAGCGGTTTTCTTCGTGCTTTTGCATCACCTGGAGATTCCAATCGGAATAAAAAATTAAACCTACTATTATTAGCTTAACATATTACCCAAGTCCTCCCTGAAGCTATACCAATTTACATTCATTGTTTCGTGTTGTGTTAACATACTTAAAACCTTATTTATATCACCGCTGTTATACCCGGTCATTCATGTGTATATACTTCAGCCACATCACCCCTTTTTCTACTATACAGTTATCATTAGAAATATGCTGATTTATTAGTTTGATTTAATTTATTCATTCATTTAAAAAAAAAATTGTTTTTTATGTTAATATTTTATTAATTGCACCGAGAACTTTGTAGGTGGTTATAATGTGTGTCCCCTTACTCCTGTGTGTTGGGGTGCATGTGTGCGACATTAAGCCGGGTACATTAGGTTTGCTGCTCTAGATCGTGCAAGTCCTAACAACTTAAGACTGTAACGACTCAAATTAGTGATGATTTCTCCATTATAGATGATTATATGTGTTATTATTATTGTCAGTAGTAGTAGTAGTAGTAGTAGTAGTAGTAGTATTTGTACTAATAGCAGACTGTTACTAAAATAAGTGCCATAATTTTTGCGTGTTATAGGCGATAAGAGCGTCGGAATAACTGTAAAAATGAACATCTATTTGGTCGTCACATATAGTACCTCTTCTTTTGATAGTTTGTTCTTGAGGGAGGGACTTGTAGAGAAGCTAATGTATGCATTTTTTAGACCTTGCAGAATACACACAAACCAGCTACTACTCTTGTGTACTTGCCTAGTTGTGCTTGCGGAGTTGAGCTTTGACTCTTTGGTCCCACCTCTCAACTGTCAATCAACTAGTGTACAGAATCTTGAGCCTACTGGTATCTATCAAGTCTACATTTGAAACTGTGTATGGAGTCTGCCTCCACCACATCACTGCCTAATGCATTCCATTTGTTAACTACTATGAAACTGAACAAATTATTTCTAATGTCTCTGTGGCTCATTTGGGCACTAAGTTTCCACCTGTGTCCCCTTGTTCGTGTTCTACCCTTGCTAAATAGTTTGTCTTTGTCCACCCCTGTCAATTGCACCGAGAACTTTGTAGGTGGTTATAATGTGTGTCCCCTTACTCCTGTGTGTTGGGGTGCATGTGTGCGACATTAAGCCGGGTACATTAGGTTTGCTGCTCTAGATCGTGCAAGTCCTAACAACTTAAGACTGTAACGACTCAAATTAGTGATGATTTCTCCATTATAGATGATTATATGTGTTATTATTATTGTCAGTAGTAGTAGTAGTAGTAGTAGTATTTGTACTAATAGCAGTACTACTATTATTGTTAGCAGGTAACTATAAAAAAGGCAAGCCGGGAAGACTATACAGCACCATCTGTGTTGCGGTTTATTTAAAATGTATTAACTATCTCTGAGGATGCCAATACGAGAACAAAATAACATAAGGCGAATGATATCAAAGATATCAGCTTCAGCAAGGATTCTATCGAGGAACATTAGGAAAGGAAAACAGAACAATCTTCCTGAAAATCTGGACATTCCACTAGGAGGTGCACAACTAAACAGGACAGTGCATATTGCCCGAAACGCTATGCGTACTAGTGGCTTTAGGTATTGTATGTACTACCTCTATCTTTAAATCTAACAAAATGTTTGTACTGTAACGCTGCAACTATGTATGTACTCTTCCTAAATAAATTATTATTATTATATTGTTATCATCAGTAGTAGTAGAAGCGGTAGCTATATTATTAGTATTATATTTTTAAACATTTTTACATATAATTTATATAACAAGTGTATTTTTGCAGGCAAGAACTACACTTGCTCAATATAATTTTTTGGAGCAATGCAAAAGTAATTTCAATGCGGATCTTGCCTATGTGTGTGTTACATATTACTGAATGTTAAGGTTAAAGGTCCTTATGTTTATTAAGTACCATTTTGCGTCATTACCCATTCTTTAACAAAACGACTTTATCGATTAAATAACTGTTTTAGTAACAACCATGGAATAAAATATTTCTCCTCAATATTGCGAATAATCGATGATGAAAGTGTTGAAATTACTCCGCTTGTGCAAAGACGATGATACTGCAGACAGTCACTTGTAACACTCCACGTTTGGTCAATAATTCCTGAGCGGGAGCTGTAGCGAAGCTCAGTGGGCCGTACCCATTTTGTGAACTTTATATAATACACACATCCCATAAATATCTTAATAATAATAATAATATGCCTTGGAAGATTGGTTTCCAGCTTGCAGTAGACTCCTCTGATAGCTTTCGTTCTGCCATGTATCAACTTTTTCTGAAATTTTGGTGAACGTTTTGTCTATTGTATCTTGTAGCGTGTTTAATATAAATATTCCTTTAGTGGTGTTTCTCTGATAACATCACCATTTCTCTGTTTAATTTACGTCAGCTGAAAGAGTGCTGTTAAGTTATTTACTTGTATTGCTATTTTTCATGTCATTTAGCCAGAAAAGTTATCAGAGCCTAAAGCAGTGGACTGGTGCATGCATTATGAACTAAGTCCATAACGCTGTGCCTCCTTGCCAAATCAGATAAACTTTCTACATTATGAAAGATAATTGACAAACCCTTAAACTATATAATCATGCCTCGGCACCCTTTATATCATACTTATAAGTGAAGTAATCGACTGAGATAATGAGCAGTGTGGAGTTGTGTGTATGATAGAGAGCGGGCGACGGAGGGGACGGCGGCCGGGCCAGCGCTAATGTGAGAGAGGGTCGCCACACCTGATAGTTTGGGCCGAGGCAACAGCACGAGCTCTCGCTTATCTCACACCCATCCAGATTACTACAGCCGATTCGATTCGATAATTATAGGAGGATGAGCAGCACTTGTTTGAACTGGCAAGTTGAGCTGTGCCTCTGCATATGACACTTGGAGCACATTGCATGATGATGGAGAAATGGTGTTATCATCCACCAAATATCTAAGTTACTTGGGAAGTGGGAGTGGCCTTTGTTGAGCCCACACCAACACTTCTTACGGGGCGTTATTACTTCCTGCCTTGCAGATGACGAGTCACAATAACGTGGCTGAAATATGTTGACCAAACCACACATTAGAAATTGAAGAGACGGCGACGTTTCGGTCCGTCCGGGACCATTACCAAGTCAATTGTGAAGAGCCGAGAAAGGCACGGACATAAGTAAGACAAGAAAGAGGTGAGGAGGAGGAAATCTTGGAGGAAGGTAAAAGAAAGGGTTCGAAGGGGGTAATAAAGGCCTCATGAGGCCATAAAGCAAAAATGTCATCAACATAGCGAAGCCAGAGAGAGAGAGAGAGGGACGAGTATCAATAGAGGGAAGCAGATTTTCATCTATTTTGGCCTTATTTCGTTATAAAAATAATGTTATTTCCTAGTAAAATTATGATTATTAAAGTTCTACATTTACTGTCAAAATGTTTAATGCCTTCTTTATTTGCATAATTCTACGAAGTTTTGGATAATTTTGTTAAATTTTGGGTAATTATGTTCCTGACAATAGGAATGTATATATTGTCAGCAAACCCAAGACTACTCTAGTGTTAGAGAGAAATATTGAGAATAATTTTTTTACCCTTTTATTAACTAAGTTACATAGATAATATCCGTATTCTTTAAACTTTATAATTATTCATCACAAAAATAGTTAAAAAACAAAATTTACAATAATGATTTCCTTTAGCATGGTCTTATGGCCATGATTTCACTGAAACACATTCAACACAGACTTTTGCAAATTGTCGTGAATATGAAGAAAGCAGGTTATATTGAAGATGTAATCATTAGGAACTGATGATGGGTCCAATGTGATGAAAGCAAACCGTTCAGCTTGATACGTTTGCCCATATGTAAAGTTTGAGCCTATATTCACCTCAGAGACTAGACTAGGCTCTGCTAGTGCTGTAGCTGACTTTATGGGAACCGGCTCATTTTTAGGCTCTAGAAATTTATATTCAATTAGGTTTACCTTAATTTGAACAGGATTACATACCCATGTTAACACTTTCATTTGACGGTTCTTGACCAAAACTTTGTCGAGGACAACATCAAGTTCAATGACTTTATCATGTGAATAGTTGAGGCGCATGACTCGCATGACATAGTCTGTACTGTAGAGATGCACACTTGAAGATGGCGTCAAGCAGTACCTGCTGGCTTCGTCGTCCTCGTTAAAGTCGAACGTGTTTATGTAGATTTGACGTGTTATATAAACATCTCTGCTTGTTTTGTGAAGGTCATAGCCAAACTCTCGAACTCTGGCAACGAGTGGATTTTCATTTGCTGCTGCTGTCAGTTCATCATAATTAACAACGTTGCAGAGAAGGGGTTGAAGCACCACCTGCCGGTGAGGACACACGGGCAGCAGAACTTTTCGTGTAATGTCCAGCAACTGGTTGTACTCATGTTTACCTGCAGACACAAACTTACGAATTGCCGAAGGTGGAATTCCACGCCGGCGTAAACCAGCCAGAGTAACCAAACGAGGGTCATCAAAATCATCAAAGAACTTTCCTACAAGATTATTTAGTTGCCTCTTAGACGTAATGGTAAATGGTATTTCTAGTCTTCGTTGTTCCCTTTGACAAACTCTCGGCAGGTTAAGAATATTTTGCACCCAATCATATAAGGGACGGCGACCTACAAACTCAAATGTGCACAGTGACACAGCGATAGCTTCCAGGGAGTCTACGATAGGATGCGAAAAGTCGTAAGTTGGGTACACGGACCATCGTGCACCTGTCCTGTAGTGTTCCCGAGAGACGATTCTGTAGGCTACAGGATCTATAATTCCTGAACGTGTGCTCACCTTCATCTTCAGCACTGCCTGCCCATCCACGTAGCCTCCTTCACGCATTTTATAAAATTCTCTTAGATTATCTTTTATAGAACGGTTTCGCCAGGGTGATACCATAAAACTTTTAGTTTTGATAGGTGAGTTAACTGATTCAAGATGGCAGACATAACCTTTACCCTTGGTAATCATTACTATGGCATACTGAAATAAGACGTCAAAATAATCAGATGTAAATGAAATTTTGGTCGGTTTATATCCCAACCATTCAATCATTTCCATACAATTATTACAATGATCTCTACGAGCCGTGGTTGGATTAGTGTCATCAAATCTCAGTATACACTCGCCATTGTAGTTTTCAGCAACACTAAAGTTGACATGGAGAGCCTTGGCATGGCCGATATGCAAAGGGCCACTTGGTTCTGGAGGAAACCGAGTCCGCACCACTCCTCTACCCCTCTTCAGAGCGTCTTCCAGTTGCTTCCTACTCATTATAAACACTCCGTGGCGGAAAAAACCTTCACTGTCGGTGGCTGGTGAATCTTCGATGTTCAAGTCTAGATTTTGATCTTTATCGTCGCATGTTTCAGATTCACTTTCTGTGAAGATAATGAAATAGTTAAAAATTAACACATTTTAGCTGACTGTATTCATATTTTGTTAATACAGTATATCGATTTTTAGCCAATTATGCTTAAATACTTTCTCTTTCCATTGTAGTGTTTATACACATATATAATAATAAACTATCCTAACTTATAAGAGCAGTCGGTAATTCTACATAACCAAATAATTATTTTTTTATGCGGCACGTATGGACTCCCATTGCTAAAATGCATTCCGTAAGATATTAACCAAAAATAACTTGAACTAACCTCTTCAAGATAGTGGGTTTCTAGTCACTGTTAATAACTTGTCACGAGAATTGTATTTACTTAATCTTTAATATTTTCAGAAGGTAATGGTTCTCTTGCCATTAACTACAAGATTATAACTTGTAATATTTAATTAACCTGTCCATGAAAGAGCAATGAGCTCCCAGACATCTTTTAATAAGTTGAACTCTTTATGAGCAGAATATTAACTGCTCACCATTAATTAGCTTGCTTTGAAAATACAATTAAATCCCTGTCACTTTCAGTTAACCTATACTCGAAAAAGATCTTAATTCACATCACTTAAAAATGCTAAATTCTGAGGTAGTAAGCCCACAAACTCCTTGAACTAACCTGCCCACAAGATCATCAGCAACGTTGTATTCTGCATCTATCCAATAAAAGTCAACTGTGACTTACCAATGAAAGATACGTCTCCTTCGCCCACTTTAGAGGTTGCGGTGTTGAAGCCCGTTGCAAGTGATGCTATATTTTGAACTGTTGTCAACATGGTCTGATAGGAAGCAATGTCGCCTTGTGACGGGGTCGCTATTCTCCAGCCGTGTGGCACTCCGACGCTGATATTCTCATCACTGCTGGAGACAAACATCACTTGGCAGCCATGTTCGTCACCACCTGTACTTGGATGACTATGATACGTGTCAGTCATATGTTTACCCCGGTCATAACACTGAAGGATGGGGTCTGTTTCTTCATTATTCACACGTTGGTTGTCGTTTGTACACGGAGGGGTGTGGTGAGCATCTTCACCACTCGCATGCTCGCCACTCTCTGCATGTGGAAGGACTTGGCTTGTAGCCTCACCTCTCAAGTAATCGTTGCTGTGTGTCTGCGTTGAGACGGGGCCGGCATCTTTATCACCAATAGACTCGTCGCCGTCTACACATGGAGGAAAATATTTTCATCAGATAAATAGACCATCCTGTGAATCTATTTCAAGTAGAAACGAACCGAAAGTATTAACATTTATACCAAAAATATGCAACAACAATGTTAGACTTCATCTGTTATATAAGGCTAGTTAATATCAGCTATTGTACTTAAGATAAGTCTCTAAACGCTGTTTAGGGAAAATTAACAATGGAAATTTAGGAAAAACAAGGGACCGCAATATATATACCAGAAAATACATTTTTAAGCTTTAAATATGACTCTACTTATATTAATAAGAAAGCTGTTCTTTAAAAGTTGACCTGAAGTCCAAGAAGCGACACATTGAACTTGAAATTTAAATAAGTTTATTGAGAGATAAATGCATTGAAAGGAAGAGGGTAGCTCAATGTATTCTCAAGATAACTGACATAATCCATATTCTGGGTGGAGAACATTTACCCAGGTAATATTATTTAGAACATAGACACAAATAGTCATATAAATACAAAAAAAAATATTTACAAATAAATACAAATACATATAAACATTTTATTATAATACGGAGGCTATAAATATACATGCAAATAAATTTATAAATGTTAACGTTTCTAACGCAAAATTCTTATAGTTCTCCAGAACATCAGTCCTATCTCACGGACAGTCTGTATCTAAATGTATCCACATATATCAATCAATGGGTACTCGATGACATATATGGGTGGCGGTGCGAGATCTTAACGTACCACATAATTTACATTTCCTTTAATTTTTATTAACACCCGTTCCCCATTTCTAGTAATATTTGTATCAAAGTCTGAGGGGTATGTGTACAGGGGTCACTCCCAGCATTTTTTGTTTATCTGTTTTACCGTACCTACCTACCTTGAGGTGCTTCCGGGGCTTAGTGTCCCGGCGGCCCGGTCGTCGACCAGGCCTCCTGGTTGCTGGACTGATCAACCAGGCTGTTAGACGCGGCTGCTCGCAGCCTGACGTATGAGTCACAGCCTGGTTGATCAGGTATCCTTTGGAGGTGCTTATCCAGTTCTCTCTTGAACACTGTGAGGGGTTTGCCAGTTATGCCCCTTATGTGTAGTGGAAGCGTGTTGAACAGTCTCGGGCCTCTGATGTTGATAGAGTTCTCTCTCAGAGTACCTGTTGCACCTCTGCTTTTCAACGGGGGTATTCTGCACATCCTGCCATGTCTTCTGGTCTCATGTGGTGTTATTTCTGTGTGCAGGTTTGGGACCAGCCCCTCAATTATTTTCCACGTGTAAATTATTATGTATCTCTCCCGCCTGCGCTCAAGGGAGTACAGATTTAGGCTCTTTAGTCGGTCCCAGTAATTTAGATGTTTTACTGAGTGGATTCTAGCAGTAAAGGATCTCTGCACGCTCTCTAGGTCAGCAATTTCTCCAGCTTTGAAAGGGGCTGTCATTGTGCAGCAGTACTCCACTCTAGAGAGCACAAGCGTTTTGAAAAGTATCAGCATCGGTATAGCATCTCTAGTGTGAAAAGTTCTTGTTATCCAACCTGTCATTATTCTTGCAGTTGTGACGGCTACTTTATTGTGTTCTTTAAAGGTAAGGTCTTCCGACATGAGTACACCCAGGTCCTTTACATTGCCTTTTCGTTCTATGTTAACGAAAAGGCAATGTATGTGAAATGTGAATGTGAAATTGGTGTTTAGCGTCACATACATGGATGGTTTTGCTTTTCACATATGTTCTATCTTTTCTCGTCACTTCCGTTTATATATATATATATATATATATATATATATATATATATATATATGTATATATATATATATATATATATATATATATATATATATATTCAGTATCAACTTCTGCTTTTTTGTAGTACATTTGGCCAGGTCATAATCTATTTTATAATGAAGACTTATTTCAACATGAGATGGAATTCACATGGACTTCTCATTATATCCTTTAAACTTTACCTCATATTGGGTCCTTTAATTTCTACCTCCTATCGTGCATTTTAATCTCTATCTCACATCGTATACTTTTATCCTTATCTCACATTGTGTTCTTTAATCCTTATCTCACATTGTGCCCTTTAATCCTTATCTCACATTGTGTTCTTTAATTTGTACCTCACATTGTGACCTTTTTATCCTTAGCTCACAATGTGTCCTTTAATCCTTATCTCACATTATGTCCTTTAATCCTTATCTCACATTGTGTCCTTTAATATTTACCTCACATTGTGCCATTTTATTCTATATCTCACATTGTGTCCTTTAATCCTTATCTCACATTGTGTCCTTTAATCCTTATCTCACATTGTGTCCTTTAATCCTTATCTCACATTGTGTCCTTTAATCCTTATCTCACATTGTGTCCTTTAATCCTTATCTCACATTGTGTCCTTTAATCCTTATCTCACATTGTGTCCTTTAATCCTTATCTCACATTGTGTCCTTTAATATTTACCTCACATTGTGCCATTTTATTCTATATCTATACTTTTTTTTGCAATTCTCAACGATAGACGTAAAAATGGATTTAATGAATCCAGCGTTCTCTGGCTATCAGCAAATATGAAAAATATAGCTTTGATCTACTTAATCCAGACCACCCAAAATGCCTTCAATTTAGCTTGTGTAGATGAAATGTAGTTACTAAATCTAAGTTCAGTTTTCTTGTCTATTGACCTCACATCCAGCTGTGCCATCTTCTGCCACCGATTCGTTCCAAAAGGCTTGCAGATTATTGTCTGGATCATGCAGAGGCTTTTCAACTTGAGGGGACATAATATTTAGATCTTACTTTCTGTATCTTCCGGGAAGAAATTCTGCTGCACTCCAGAGAAAGTAATATATATTAGTTGATTTGTTGCTTCAGAGTTTTATACTTTTTTCAGAAATAATATTACTCTTCCGAATAGATAACTGATGTTGTAACAATAAAATTGTCAAATGTCAATATAAAATATAAAAATTACAAGTTTTTATGGTTATTAAAATTTAATAAAATAAAATTTAAATTTTTATTGTTTTGTGCTCCAAAATTATTTTAATATTACTGCTTTCAAACCTCTATTCGGAATTTGTGTAGGGTTTTTAAATTTCATTTTAAATGAGACGGGGGAAAAAAGCAAACTAATTTAGGAGGCAAGCTTGACTTACCTGTACCACAGGGAAGAGTTGTAATAACGGTGGTGTGCAGGCGAGGGTCAGATGTGGGGGAGCTACGTTGGTCGCTGTGAGCCATCTTCCTTAATAATAATAATATTTTATTTAGGAAAAGTACATACATAGATGCAGCTACAAACATTCTGATGGATTTATAGATAGAGCTAGTACATACAATACTTTTCGGGCAAAAGAAACGCTGAAACTTGAAACCTTGTCACCAACCAAGCCTTAATTGAATTCCTCAGATTAGACAAAATTGTAATTATTTGTTGTCAATAAAGATATTAATAATAATAAGCCTGCCGGAAGAGGTAGTATGGATCATGGTATGTCACTTTTTTCACAATCTGTCGTCCAAAAGTGATAGTAGCATTTCCTTTACATGTTATCACTTTCTCCTCATAATTACCTTGTAGCAAGGTAACATGACTAGAAAATGCATGTACAAGTAATGATGCCTTTTGTCTTAAAATTAGAGTCCGTTTTTAAAATGAATATTGAGACGTCACTGTACTAGGCTTCATTGCCTACTACAAGTCATCTGTGCTAGGCTCTCAGAGGATAATCATGGAAAGCTTATATGGGATTAAGAATAAAGATATTAATCAACCCAGTTACATGTAGATTATGACCGCAATTGTATTTGGCAAGAATTATATTCGCCATCTTAGGCTCAGGAGCTAATACTAACAGTATATTTCCAATCCTGACTTTCCCCATGTCAAATCTTAGCGTCCATATTCAGCATCATCACCTCACCATCTATCACCTCACCATCTATCACCTCACCATCTATTACCTCACCATCTATCACCTCACCATCTATCACCTCACCATCTATTACCTCACCATCTATCACCTCACCATCTATCACCTCACCATCTATTACCTCACCATCTATCACCTCACCATCTATCACCTCACCATCTATTACCTCACCATCTATTACATCACCATCTATCACCTCACCATCTATCACCTCACCATCTATCACCTCACCATCTATTACCTCACCATCTATCACCTCACCATCTATCACCTCACCATCTATTACCTCACCATCTATTACATCACCATCTATCACCTCACCATCTATCACCTCACCATCTATCACCTCACCATCTATTATCTCACCATCTATCACCTCACCATCTATCACCTCACCATCTATCACCTCACCATCTATTACCCTCACCATCTATCACCTCACCATCTATCACCTCACCATCTATTATCTCACCATCTATCACCTCACCATCTATTACCTCACCATCTATCACCTCACCATCTATCACCTCACCATCTATTACCTCACCATCTATTACATCACCATCTATCACCTCACCATCTATCACCTCACCATCTATCACCTCACCATCTATTACCTCACCATCTATCACCTCACCATCTATCACCTCACCATCTATTACCTCACCATCTATTACATCACCATCTATCACCTCACCATCTATCACCTCACCATCTATCACCTCACCATCTATTATCTCACCATCTATCACCTCACCATCTATCACCTCACCATCTATTACCTCACCATCTATCACCTCACCATCTATCACCTCACCATCTATTATCTCACCATCTATCACCTCACCATCTATCACCTCACCATCTATCACCTCACCATCTATCACCTCACCATCTATCACCTCACCATCTATCACCTCACCATCTTTCACCTCACCATCTTTCACCTCACCATTACCTCACCATCTATTACCTCACCGTCTATTACCTCACCATCTATCACCTCACCATCTATCACCTCACCATCTATTACCTCACCATCTATCACCTCACCATCTATCACCTCACCATCTATCACCTCACCATCTATCACCTCACCATCTATCACCTCACCATCTATTACCTCACCATCTATTACCTCACCATCTATCACCTCACCATCTATCACCTCACCATCTATCACCTCACCATCTATTATCTCACCATCTATTATCTCACCATCTATCACCTCACCATCTATCACCTCACCATCTATTACCTCACCATCTATCACCTCACCATCTATCACCTCACCATCTATCACCTCACCATCTATCACCTCACCATCTATCACCTCACCATCTATCACCTCACCATCTATCACCTCACCATCTTTCACCTCACCATCTATCACCTCACCATCTATCACCTCACCATCTTTCACCTCACCATCTATTACCTCACCATCTATTACCTCACCGTCTATTACCTCACCATCTATCACCTCACTACTGTTTAGTCTGCAAGAAGGTGAATCATCAAAGTTAAAACACTATCAGGTACTAGCCTAATTGGCATTGTTATTCGTAATGTTGATTTCACTAACTCTGTAATTAGATATACCATGACCTGGTAGCTGCAGGATATTGAGAAGATACCTGCTGGTCACTGGACATGAAGATGGCAGGAGACTTACACAGTTGTCTTGAGGAACACGTCAACCAGGAGGACGTCTTCTAGACGGCTACGTCATCTGGGTCCAACATTTTGAGAAAATTCAGTGCACACCGGTAATAATCTTATTACTATTTTATTCTCAAATCTTTATTATTTATTTAATAGTAACTATTTTTTTAAGCCCCTTAACTGATTTTGCTATGCAAAAATTTGGATCACTATAAAATAAAATTCAAGTGTCTTATGTGATTTTTTTAATGTTCACATATTTTACTGTGTATATTTCACTGTTTATATTTTTACACGTATTCGTTTGATTATAATTATAATAATAATTTTCAAACAATGTTTTTAATTAGACCCCCTCACCTAACGGCATCACTTTTACCCATATTATTAGTTCTCTAAGAACATAACCCACATACATGCCAAACCCAGCAGCCCGTCCTCACAATGGACAGAAAATGTACTAAACTTGTCTGAAACTGAAATCTATTTTTTTATTCCATTAGTCCAGTTTACCAAATTGACGAGGTCATTTCTAATGTGAAACCCCAAAGGAGCTTTATATTTTGAAGCTATTTTAAACGAGATGAGTAAATAATAGATAATTAAAGGGAGAACGGATAATAGATAATTAAAGGGGGATAATTAAAGCTAGTGGCTTTACTTTTTTGTTTTTAATTATAATTCAGTCACGAGGTAAAGGTGGTGCATGAAACACCTGAAAGGAACAGCTGTTAGCAGCCTCCAAGAGGCAGCAAGGTGCACCACTCCGGGGGGCGCCTGCAAAGGTTAAACTCAGTCTTCTGCTGCGATGACACTGGAGATACCGCAGGTTTCTGAGCAAGGAACTTCTCCTAACAAGTATAAGAGCGAGATCACTCACGGCAGCGCCCAACTAGTTTTTGCGGCGTCACCTGCACCCAGACGTGTCCGGCCCTACGCCATATCTTCACTTATTGATTTATTTATTTATTTAAAACCCTTACAAGAAAAATAACAATGAAGTAAATTATACATTCTGGCAAAGCCATTAACCTATATAGCCTTTCTTGAAACTGGCCTCGCCACAAATTTTGAACCCTCTTAGGTCATGTTAGCTGTAGATTTGCTATCAAGATTTCATAAAGTAAAACTAAATTTACGTGTTTGGGACAAGTTGTGGAGGGTGGGGCTGTTTAATGAGGGCACACTGGTTAGTCGGTGAGTGGACACTGTCTTGTGCCACTGGGCTACATGCTCTCCGGGTCGTTAAAAGTAGCTGTGATGCCCTCCTGGACCATCTCTAGATAGAGCTGTCGTTACCTAGACAAGATGCTATCGCTTGACATGACTTTCAGGAGATTTATCATTGCGATATAAATTACTTGGTGTTGAACAGTTACGTCTATTAGGCTATAAATCAGCATCTGAATGACTTATGAAATTGTTTGCTATTAACAAATTCTAGTACTATTTATTTAATATGTATTTATTTACAAGAAGGTACAATGGGTAATGAGAGTACATACATTCAATGGTATTTTCTTGCAAAGTCACTAACGTAAAGCGTTTCGGAAAAGTCGTAAAGCTGAACAAAAAAGGAGTAATATTAAATACTGAATAAAAAATAATTGTAATTGTAGGTACATGTAAGATAAATTGAATTCACATAATTACCACATCAACATAAAGTGGCGATAAAAAGTAATTATTCTGACAAATGTTCATTTTTTTGTTATAATATTTTTACATACTAGAATGTTTTGAAGAGCTAGGCCTAACTTAGGCTATGTTCTGTTGGCAATAATTGGTATTTGCAGTACTTGTATGAAACATTTAGAGAGGCCCGATTCGAGCAGAGGACAACAGGCTCGCCATAGCCCATGCTACTTGGAATTTTTTGTTCCAGGTAGCGAATCTTTAACAACAACAACAGCAGAGGACATGAGCAAAGCACTGCTCGAAAAAATGTGAAAGAAAAGTGCATAATCAGTTGGGAGTCGTGTGTAAAGTGTTTTTCATTCATAAACGAGGTTTGGTGGATGTATTAACAGAGTATACAGTAGTATACAGTAAATGGCAGTTTTGAAGTTTCATATCCATGACTGCAGTTAGTGTAGAATCGTATAATATTTTAGTACATATCCCTATTGTTATATTATTTATAGCCTATTATATTGTAACCTTGATTTAAAGACTCCAGTTTTCTGTTGTTAAAGAGACAAATAGCTAACTGATATCTAGATTTATTAAGCCTGACCTAAAAAGTAACTACCGAACATGATATAGCCTGTATACCAATCCTCAATAGTAATTCAGAGGATCTGTTATTCTAGTCCATAAATTACTGAATTTACAATAGACCGCCATATAAAAAGTTTATAAATCTTCGGTTTTCTCTAATTCACGTTTTCTTTTTCACACGTACTCGCCTCATTGTACTCACCTAGTTGTGCTTGCGCGGGGATTGAGCTTCGGTTCTTTGCTCCCGCCTCTCAACCGTCAATAAACTTGTTTACAGGTTCCTGAGCCTATTGGGCTCTATCATATCTACATTTGAAATTATGTATGAAGTCCATATTGGGAGTGGGATCCCTTTTTGTCAAATCAAATCAAATGTTTATTCAGGTAAAGTACATACATACAAGGTACAAACATTGATGGATTTATATATAGAGCTAGTACATACAATGTCTAATCATATATATCAATGACTAGATGATAATAATGACCAGACCACACACCAGAAGATGAAGAGACGACGACGTTTCGGTCCATTCTGGACCATTATCACAATTGACTTGACAATGGTCCAGAATGGACCGAAACGTTATCTCCTTATCCTCTGGTGTGTGATTTGGTCATGATATCTTCGGCCCCGTTAATGTATCTTATCGTTTAGATGAAGTATTAGAAACCGCATCATCAAATTTACAGATGACACTAAGATTTTTTCCACACACACACACACATATATATATATATATATATATATATATATATATATATATATATATATATATATATATATATATATATATATATATACACTGAAAATACAGTAGTGTATACTTTCCTATGCACTTCTAGGGTGTTAAATTTTATTAACGATGTATGAAATTAACTAGAAAAGGCTACCATGTTCGGCTATACAGTAATATTTCTAAGCGCATATCAGTATACTCGTAATAACCTTAATTTCTAATCAGCCGAGCTTACTTTACGAGCAAAGCAGAATTCCCAAGCAAAAGTAAGTTGGCCAAGTACATCTCTTGTTGATTATTCACTAATAAATTCATCAGTGGGTGTGTAAGCCTTGGTGTGAACTGAGATCCACAGCGGTGAAGCCTGGGGAGGATGTGCTGGCCACCCTGACAGGATACCACCTATTGCGAAACCTTTGGTGGTGTTAGCAAGCAGTAGACCAAGATGGAGGCTATTTCTATTTTCACACCCATGCCACCACTTTTCCATATCTTAACCATGCTGGGATATGGGTGTAGCAAATGGCAATACTTATGACATACAATAATATTATTAATAATATAAATTATTGAATGCAGTAGGCCTATCCCTAAGTAAATGATGATCTCTTTTTCACACCTGACTTACAACTAAATACGTTCAAATTTTTACAAAAAGATCTTCACTTACTTTCTGTGCTTTGAAGATTAATTCACTCCTGTTCTCTAAATGCAAATAATTGCCAATGATACGAAAGCACCTACCCAATTTAACCTAGTCCTAACTTGATAAGATACCACATGAAAGACCTGGCAGGAATTACAAGCACATGGAATAAATGGTAAAGTACTAGAATCAATAAAACAATAGTTGAAACAAGGAAAGTATAGATATCGCTCTAAATGGAAATGAACCTGACTGGAGAAATGTGGTTAGTGGGGCACCTTAATGTTCCATATTGGGGCCCAACCCTTTTTGGCATATGCGTCAATGACGTACGTGAGAATATTAATCAAAGCAGTAATGATGATGGTTGTAAATAGGGTACATATCTGTGCCTGAGTAGTGAAGTCAGCGATTTGTTTTCCGTAGAGTGTTTGCAGTTTTGAGTGTATATACCGGAGGGCCGGAGTCGCCAGTGCAGACTTCCTATCACATGCCTCTGTATGACTAACCATCCTGTGTGATGAGGATTTTTTAGCATCACGTAGTTAGCTTTTTTGACACACTGTACTCCACTTCATATAGTCTAGGGTAGCTGCAATAATGCAGATGTACCTCATGTATTAAAAAAAAATACCGAAGGGCTACAAACACTTATAGTCTCGACGAGAACAGGAAGCCGGTGGCTTGTCAAAGGTCCCCCCTATTTGCCTTAATTGTCTTTTACACTTGGATTTTAAAATTTAACTGAGTTTTAGCATATACGGCTTCGGCGCATAGGCAGTTCCATGGGTTTATAACCTTGTGGGTGAAAAAATCTTTTGTTCTTTTAATATAATCACTAAATTAGACATTGGTTGGATTACTGGTAAATTTCTATGCATTATTCATTAACTCATTACGAGGCAGAATGTAGCAGGGAGGAGCTGAATTGGTGCGGAAGAGTGTATAAATTTAAGAGAAAGTGTCACACTTACTCATGCATGGCCAATGCGGCCTCTTTTTCATCTTGCATAACGGTCATGGATATAATGAAAACCGTACATCTCTCTTCATATATAATTAATCTTAATGCTAAATTATTCTTATATGAATAACATGAACCACATCGCTTTACTGTACTGAATATAGACTTATATAGCGACATACAGTAATTTAATACATTGTTGCACTGAAGTGACACAATTAAAATTTCAAAACAAATTTTAGATTTTGATTGTAAATTGAATAAGACTGCATTACAAATAGAATTTGTTTTAATTATCTATAGATGATATTTAGAATTAATCCAGAACCAGAGATTGCATATTATGTGTATTCTAAATTACTAGTCAATTGTTTTTGCGAATATTATGCAGATTATTTGGTAGCTGACCTTGAGGTAAGTTGAGGCAGACAGAAGGGTGTCCAGAGGTCTTTGTGAATGTTAAATGTTGACTGCACCATCAACTCAAGGTATATGTATCATCACAGCCATGTACAGAAATGTGAGTTTACTCTGGCAGGTTGGTATGGTTTAAGACATTAAAGACTGTAAAATATTTTGAGACCTCCATACTGCTTATTTTTCTAGCTTTTTTTAATCAACTCGAATTCATAAAAACTGTTAATAAGTACTTTAAATTTAATTATTTCAGTTTGGTTACTTTGGGATTCATCAAATCAAAAACTTTATATTACGTCATAATCTTCAGTAATTGAGATAAACATTCACTCTGCTTGTGAATTTGAGATCTCATGTGCAGGATTTGTACTTATTGGTGATAAGAAACGTTTACATTTCAGCGCCATCAGATGATAGCGTCGGCTTACGTATATCTCTCTCAAGTGAGTTTTTAGCATTTTGTAAATTTTGAATTTTGTGTACCCCATAACGTATGAGAGATTGTTGTCCATGCACTTTTCACATCGTTCTTTATTTCAATTTATTTTCATAGTATAGTAATGCCTATCTTCTTAGTATAGTGATTAGCATTGCTCTAGTTTTTTATTTATTTATTTAATAAGGTTGCTCTTGTCGTGCACGGGACAGTTTGCCAGCGGATTTTAAAATTATCTTCCGAACCTAGCCTAACCTAGCCATCTCAACCCAACTTAGCCCAACTTAACGATATGTAGCCTGTAGTTTTTAATGTATATTGTATATGCTATCATCTTTGTTGAGGTTTGTGTTGTAGCGTGTAGCTGTAGTCTACTAAGTTATTTGGTAGAATTCGTTATTTTCAGAGGTTAGTGTTGAATTTACTTATGTCAGTATTAGGAATTCGTATATGAATCTAATTGTTGTTTTAGTGATCTTGATGTTATTTCCGGGGTGAGAATGATTAAAGAATAATAATATAGAACAAAATAATCTCCACTATGCAAGTAAATGCCTGTTTTTTGTCTCTTATGTTGCAGCTGTTGTTAAGGGCGTTAATGGAAGTAGCCCGTCCATTGGTGCTCTCTTTGTAAATTTACCTGAGGTAAATAAATTTACGAAGACAGGTAGCCAGCGGCTTGTCAAAGATCCCCCACCCCGTCCATTACTTGGTACATTTGTAAATGTAAAGAAATTAACTAATCTCAACCCCCCTCGCCCGTCCCATCCCAAATCCTTATCCCTCCCCCTTCTAAATACTATACTATAATGGTTTGGTGCTTTACCCCTGGTAATTCCCTTCCCTTCCGCAAGTACAACTGGGTTAGGAGGCTACAACCTTGACACCTCAAGCAACCTCGACAAATATAATAATAACAATTAGTAATGGTAATGTCTTCTATCAGACAATAACATAGGGTAAAAAAAAACACACTTGTGTATTTGTTAAAATTTATGTAAGGATTTTACATCAAGTCTTTCGCACTCTCCTGAGTGCTTTGTCAATGTCTGAGTGTGTGATTAGGACGAGACTTGCATCTCAACGTCTTATCTCAACGACTCATCGCAACTTCTAATGAGGTTGCTATCCTGGGTCCAGTCCTCTTATCCTTTTTGACCTGACCAGGTTACTTCTATTCCCGACTGGCGATGTACCTGCAGTAATGTCTTCTACGGAATTATGATCATGTTTTAAATGTATACGGGCTCACCATAGCCCGTGCTGCTTGGAACTTTTTGTTCCAAGTAGCGAATCTTAAACAACAGATCAACATGTCTCCTTTCTGTAATCTTGCTATTCTGAAAACTGGAGTTATTAATAGAGGTGTTCATCTTACCGGAAGGAACGCATAGGTTTCAAATAATAATAATATTAATAACAATAATATTTATTCAGGTTTATTCACCATTTTGTATGCACATACATACAAAATGAGTTACATACAGAATGTTGGATTTCTAGATAGAGCAAGTATATACTATGCCTAAAGCCACTAATACGCACAGCGTTTCAGGCAAATAAATAATTCAAAGGTGCATATTTGCTTAGCTAAATGAATTGTGGGGTTCAGTCCCCGAGCCCATTATGTGCCTCTGTAACCCTTTCCACTACCGCCCACAAGATGGGTATGGGGTGCATAATAAATGAACTAAACTAAAACTAAACTATTTTGGCAAGTGAACTGTATGGCAGTAAATGTTGATATCGCTGTTCTTTATTTACCAAGAATATACTTAAAGTTTCTACAACAATTATGGTGAGTACGTATACAGTAACCTATAATGAAATAAGTAGATAGCTATAATAGACGTTTATATAAGTAATATGCCCGAAAATTATGTTTGGTACATTGTAGTAAAATAAACTACTGTATAATAAACGCTTTGTAAGCTTTCGTGTATCATTTTCCTGTTACAAGAATCGAGTTCATCTACAAAAATTCCATCCCAGCTGCACTGTAATGGGGACATGAGATCTTCCTTTGTGAACGAACACAGTGTTGTAATTTCTGGAAAACCATTGTCAACAATAGTTGTAATCAGCTGTAGCCAATCACAACCTCAAAGGTAACAGTTCTGCTCTCCCATTGGCTCCTGCCACACCAATGACAAAGAAAACGCAAAAATATTTACCTTCTCTGACGATTTTATTCACATATATCCTAGATTTCGTTATCGCAATGGCCTTTACATATACGGGTATAATCAGCGTTAATTTATGCGTTAGTGTAGTTGAGAAATAAGATGATTTTGAGGTAAAATGTGTGTAGGAGAGGGAGTGTGGATGGCGTGCGAGTTGTAGTGTATCATCTGTTCCCAGAGAAAGTGACTTGTCTGATTGTTTGACTGAAAGTGTAAGTTTCACTGCGCAGTAGTGTACGCTTTGTGTCTGACTGTGAGTAGGCTGTAGAGGTCGGTGTTGTAGCGTGGGAGGTTGGTGTAGTGACGGGGCTACAGGTGAGAGAGCTTCCTGCCGTCTGGGACAGGTGGGTAAGACAGAGAGAAGGTTCTTGGGTTGATATTGTGTATGTCGTCGTCGTCGTCATCTCCCTGTGTTGTTGTTGTGTTGCTGGGGATCACCTGTGAGTTTCACTGTCACTCCCTTCACTTTCACGCTCATCACGCCTGGGGAATATTATGCAAGATAAGTCAGAGTTAGGGGGAAGCTGTGAATAATGGGGAGTCGTGTCGACCATTGGCCATTTTATTAAAATGGTAATTTTCGCTAATGTGTAAAAAAAAATTGTAAATTTAATTTGTCTTAAAATTGTGTTGTTTTGTCATGTTTCATCAATGCACAGGTTTTCTTTTAAATATGTAAATAGTTTTGAACAAAAATATACATATATTGTACAGTGAGTTTAGTGTTTTATGTAATAAAGCTTGTACCTCTCTATATTATTAGCTTCCTGACTAAGCTATTTCTTGAATTGAAGTTGAAATTGAAAGTTTATTGAGGTAAAATACACACAAAGGGATGAGGTAGCTCAAGCTATTCTCACCCCGTTCAGTACGTGTTAATACATAAATAGAAGCAATAAACATATTACCAAACATTCTGAGAGATAAACGTATACATTTCCTGCTATTTCTTGATGGCTTGAGCTAAGTAACAAAGTGGTTGTACTTGTACAGATGGCTACAGCTTGGGATCAGATAGTGAGAGAGATCATACTTCTCTTTATAAGTTGCTGGACCTGATGTTTAAAAGAATTGATAATGAATAAATTGGCTTAAAGGTAAAATTTATCACAAGGTCCTCTCATTTATTTTGAGGGTGAAATTTATGGAATGAAGCAAAACATTCAAAGTGATTGCTCTCCTTATGGTTCCTAATTTCCTTGTCTCATTAAGAGGTATTAGTCAATTGAGACTAGTGCAATGTACAGTAGAAAGCCATTGTATTTGGGAGTAAGTAGTAGATAAATTCCCATGCAGGGGGAGATGTTTGGGCAAGCATCCTTGAACTTTATGCCTGTTTACCTATAGGTAAGTAGGTACCCTGAAGTTAGGCAATTGTTGTGGGTTGCATTTTAGGAAAGATCAGTCATTGGTTGGCCTAGTTGAGCCCAGTGTGCATGTTACCTCCTGGTGGCCCAGGTCTGCAAGGTGAAAGGTGTTGCAGGAAGGGATTCGCTACACCATTGAAGATTCATAGAACTTCCTTTGTATAGGAAGATTTCTGACCCATCACAGGTGAGGTGGAGGTGGTGGTGTAGGATGTAATGGGACTCGCGGATGGAAAGGGTAGCCAACATCAGTACTAAATAGTAAGGTTTAGCTGAAATAAAAATTATCTAATAAATAATACCTGTAAAGCATTCTAATTACATTTTCATCTAAGTTATTTGGTTCTTGGTAAAAGGAAAATATAAGTATCTTTTGGTGCTTTTTATTATGAATCTTGTTAAATAAATGGTATCTAGGTGTTGGCTATCAATGATGCAAAACTGAAGTAGAGGTTGACGTCTTTGGGTCTGGATTAGTTATGACACACTAACACCATAATTGGGTGCCTGAATTGGGGTTACACCAGTTTGACTACAATGATGGTGAAGTAAGAGCACTGTACTCGTCTGGTTGTGCTTGAGGGGGTTGAGCTCTTGCTCTTTGGTCCCGCATCTCGACCGTCAATCAACTGGTGTACAGATTCCCAAGCCAACTGGGCTTTTGTCATATCTACATTTGAAACTGTGTATGGAGTCAGCCTCCACCACATCACTGCCTAACCATCACTGTATATCAGAGAAAATGTCAGACAAGTAATCAAAACTGAGCCAAATACAGAAAGTTTGTATAGAAAAAAGGTAATAAGAATTAAATATAGGCCATCAAATTTTGATGGAATGGAATGAAGGCTTATATGGGCAGATGTCTAAAGCATCTAGGACTAATGTTGATATTATCTGACAAGTTTTAGCCTAATAAGCTGGATCAATAAATGAAGGAATATAGAAGCAGAAGTATTTTTTTAGAAATGATGGGCACCTGTTTCTTAATCATTACATCTTGGAACCAGCTAGGACAATGTATAGTACTGTATTGTACTTTGTTTGGGCCAACATGGAGACACTAGTAAATAACATCAAAATAGGAAGTTAGTTAGGGAACAATTATCATAAGGTTTAGTATGCCATAGACAATTTTTTTTAGTGAAAATTGCTGTTAGAATACCAAGTTTTTTGTAAGAACATTATAAGATTGAAGTGTTATTTAAGGAGGGGAAAACCGGACATAGGAAGCGAGCTGTTTCGGGGACGTGCCATCACCTCGTTGTTATCATACTGCAGTTGTGCTTATATAGCATGGTGAAAAAGTGAAGTTTAAGTGTATGAACAGGTTTTAAGACCAGAATCAATTCCAAGTCACCTTAGTCACAAGAAAATCTTATACAAAATAGTTGGTAACTAGTATATTGTTGTGTACTTTTCTAAGAAAGCATGAAACATGATCAGCTTGACTAAATAAGTCATTGGAAAGTACAGTAGTATAATTAAACTGGATGTTGTTGAGGATTTGTGATGCTGCATTTTTGGCAGGAAAATCCAATCTTAAAACTAATTTTTTATATACTACTGTCTACAATACAGAATATACAGTGGTACCTTGCTTTTTTAATTTAACCTGTTCCCAGAGACGGCTCATAAACCAAAAATTTGTAACCTGAAACAAATTTTCCAATAAGAAATAATGTAAATTGAATTAATCAGTTCCACACTCCCAAAAATATTAACTTCAAAATACATTTCATACATAATACACACAAATATTTTGTACTATAGTATGTACAAGTTATAGCTCGCCTTTTATTGATGACTCTTGTTATCGTATTTGAAAATGGATAGGAGGGGGGGGAGGGGAGGTGTTGCTGTTTGGACGGGGGAGTCCCCCTTCAATTATAACATCAGGCAGTGATGACTTCTCTGGGGGTACTCTCTACCTTAATTTTTTGCCTGCATACCACTAGGACCTGGTTGTGGTTCACTGCTTGTTTGTCTCGCTAAGAACCTTTCCATAGGCTTGTTTTTTCCTTTATGGTCATCCTCACATATTTTTTCTTAGGTCAAACCTTACCACTACTTTCTTGGGACCCATGGTGTGGTATATAATAATTACTTTTTTGTTTAGAAACTGAAAAAGCTGAAAAACAATGAAATTCTTTACGAAGAATTAAAGTGCGGTCGTCACTAGGCGGGAGGCACTGGTAAACTGAAGCGTGGTCGCCCGTGGCACCAGGAACCATGAGCTTGGTCGACCCATACGTATACAGTACTGTATCAACAAATTCGCAAAGTGAGGCAAAGCTCGTAAACATATTCAAATTTTACGAAGAAATTGAGCTCGTAACCCAAAAAATTCGTAAAGAGGGATGTTTGTTACCCGAGGTACCACTGTATATCTAAAATATCCATTAGTTTTTATTTGATTTTGATCATATTTTCACACAATACCTGTACACAAATCTACACAGTGCTGCATAGTCTTCCAGACTTGGAACCTTTTGATAATTACTTAAACAAATCTGCAGGTTTCACAAATACAAGTGATAAAAAATACATAAAATGGAACACAAAAGAATGGATATAAATTGTGATGTTTATTTTTAAAAAAGGAGTAAATACCGGTTTGGAAATCAAGTAGGGCGTTTTGAACAGTACAGTACAGTATTATCCAACCCATCCTCCGAATTGACAGTACGATTTAATACTAAGTGTAATAAGTACACTTTCTAACTGTCATAACCAGTGCATAATTGCACTTATGGGGCTGTTACATTTACCCAACTCCCTCCCCCGATTTAATTCCCCTCGTTTTCTGTTAAGACACACAGAATTTTAGGATGAAATTTTCAATTTCAAGTTGCAATACACAAGTTTTAAATATCAAGAATTTTTTTTTCTGGTTTATTAAACAATATAGATTTTATACAAAATTTTAAAATATCCTGAGTTATTTTACAATTTATTGATATATTTTAGTTTTGTTTTATTAGTTTTATAAAACTGTAATATCAATATAGCTATAGGTTAAGTACTAATTGTAATTAAGAAACAATAAAATTATTATCTTCAAAAACTAAGACGGTTAGGTAAGGTTGTGGTTTTCTATTCAGTTTTTGGGGTAAACTCAAATATTCACAATATATTTGACAGTACGATTTAATACTAAGTGAAAATAAGTACAATTCCTAACTGCTATGTACGTAATTGCACTTATTTGTCTCCTTACATTTACCACCCCATTTTTGGAGGACGGGCTGGTATTATCAAGTAATGGGGGTGACAAAAGTGACATGGAGTAGCAGAGTCTTTTCAAGCAATGGTTAGACATTGTTAGTGGATGAGTATAAACAGAAACTGTCATATTTCATAAATATAAACATAAGCCAATAGGCATTCTGCTGTTTTCTTCTTTTTTTTTTTTTCTTCTTTTTTTAAGTTGTGCTGTATACCCAGCCTCTTGAATCGGCGGGGGTGCTGATGTGAATGATTTGTTAGCATGTGGTGGTGGTAGTTCTCCATAATTATATGTAGGCTGGTGTGCAAGGTACTGTATGAGGACTGGACAAGTGTATTTTTTTTATTTTAACATTTTATATATATTGTTTGCTTTTTTCAATAGGCTAATGCATACCTATTCCTTGAAAGTGGGGGATGATGATAATTATGATTTATAATTATAATCTAGTGATAAAGTACCCTTAACAATGTGAGCTTATTACTTGGTTATTTGCAAGCAAGCATTTTGTGACTTTTTGCATATATGTACCGTATATACTATGTGTGTGTTAGTATACTGTACAGTATATTAATATTTTTACATTTGTATTAATAATGAATGTATAAAATAAATTTATGATATTGCTCCTTGCAGATTGATCATGACATGATGGATCCTACAGTTGTTGAATTAGTTGAGCGATGGAATGTACTCCACAAGGAGGGCCGTTTCTCGGCTCTCAATGTGAGAGAATACTGGCGCATAAAAGTTCCAGAAATATATTCTCCACAGGTAAATGGTTCAGTAAATGTCCTCGCCCAAATAGGGTTACCATGTGGTTTTCATCGTATTTTATTACCCGATAATTATTATTGGCTGCGTGTTTCTGTGTGCACCTGTTTTACAATACTTTGAGGTTTCAGCTTGAATCTTTCAACACTTACGTATGGTGCTGTAAGTTGTCTATTATTGGGCCATGTAACACCTGGCAGTAGATTTTATAAACAGTAGTACATATACAAATTTGAAGATACAGTACCACCATAAAATGTCATGGCAACACACACATATTTGTAACTTTTTAAAATTCAGCTTGTGATTGTTTATGAAGGTCTTTGATTTATATTGTAAATAATGTCCATACAGTATTGTGAATTTATAAGTATTTTTGTTTCATTTTCAGCCAAATTGTAACTGTCTACGGATAACTTTTGATGATGAATTGGCACAAAAAATGTTGTTTGATCCTCTGGAGAGGTTCATGTGTGGGGGTGACCCAGCACAGGTGTACCAGGTAAGATCTGAGGATTTTGTGTTCTCGAGTAATTTGTGTAAGTAAACTCCTGTTTCTGGTGGATCTTCCCTTCCCTGTTCGCATTTTCTCCCTAGGGTTGAGGGGTTCTGGCAAAAGTGGCTTTAGTAAGTGGGACAGGCTTGCTGGAACCCTGGGTGATCTGCACTGCCATTTAGTGGTAGTTAAGCATCACAATTAGGTTACTTAACCAGAAATGATCATTTGCATTGTTTACCTTGATGTATAATTTCCTTAAAGTAGTCACTTGTTTATCATGCTTTCTGGTGGGTTTTTCCCAAGGTTTTAGGTGATCTTGCATCCCTAAGCTTCTCTCCCCTTAGAGTAAGCCAGATTCTCGTTCTGTCATCTGGTAGGCGACAAATGTGTGTCCGCGATCTGGCATGTTGGGCTAAAGTTTGGTACTTAGTTGTGCTTGTGGGCGTTGAGCATCTGCTCTTTGGTCCTGCCTCTCTACTGTGAATCAACTGGTAGCACAAGAGCTAGGCTAGAAGTTACTCAGGGCCTACCTACTAAAAGACATTTAATTACATTCAACTCTATATATTTAATTGTGCTCTAGAGTTTCATTTGCTGAGGAAAATCTTAAATTATACCTCTTCAATGGTGGATATTGACTAGAGCCTTATTGTACAGACAATGTTCACCCTGACCTGCAGTGTTCTTGCACGAACCTATAGTTATTTGTTTTTTAAACAGTAGTTCGTGGATGTTTTTAAACATATCATATATATATATATTGCCTTCTAACATAATTATACACCTAAATTTTGAAAACATTCTTTTAGAGGAGGGGTGATGAAAGATTTAAGCTAGTGAGAAATGTTAGGTCTTGACTCTGCAGCACAGCATTGGAAGAAATTGCATGTCCTTTTTTTTTCAGTTCCCATGGATATTTTTTTTTGTGTACAATACAGTACTGTACTCGGTTTAGTAGATACAGCAGTACTGTAATGTTTAGTTTTGTAATAGCATTCTGTATACTTGAACAGTGCATTTTAATCATATGAAACATGGTAATACAGTATTAACATAATGGTAACATATGATGACCAAAATCTTCCTTCCTCTGGTATCATAAACAATAAATATTATATATGATCATTCAAATACTAATGACAAATTTTGCTGTGAATTCTAAGTTTTGGTTTGATTGTTACTACAGAACAGTATAGTGTCTTATATTTTTATTCAAAATTAGTGAAGTCTACTATTTATGTAGTTAAGTGTTAAATCATTGATATGCTTGTAATAGCAAACCTAATTTAATATTAAATTATGGTCCACAGATGGTCAAGCAATTGGATAATCCGCCCTCGTTATGTGGTAGAGTTTTTAAAAATGGGGACCCAACTTACGGCTGTCGAGACTGTGGCATGGATCCCACGTGTGTACTATGTGCCGACTGCTTTAAGAATTCTGCACATAGTAAACATAGGTAAATATAAGGCTTTTCACATTAGAAGAATAAGTAATTCAAGCTTGTTATCTGCCATGGGTTGCTTCTCTCTTCATATGAAGTGATGTCTTTGCAGAATATATTTATTTATTAATGTTAGTGTAGTGAATTTTTTAAAACATCAGAGAATAAATTTGGCTTGAAGCTCTCTAAACAGAGTTTACCTGTAGTCAGTTTAGAGATCTACTATAAAAGTTCAGCAGTCTGAAGCCTGGCTTGTTTGGCAAGAACTTGTTCTATCAGAATGTTCAGTGGCCCACAGGCCCGTGTATCCACTGGCTGATCAGAAACTTCCTATAGTACTTTGAGCAGGATGCACAAGAGTGGCATTTTAGATTTGATAGTTGCAAAAGAATTATGGCACTGGTTATAAGAGAGCAGTCTCTTATTGCAACATATTAATGCTTTCACAGGCACAGTTTCCTACTTGAAATTCTTCTAAGCACTTAATGGAACTTGGCAAATTTTGTATACTGATAACTCCTACAGAGACCTCTTAATTTTGTCAGCATCTTTCAATGATGCTTTTTCCACTAGCTGCCTCGATGTAAATATATAATCTACATACCTGCCACTACAGAACCCATTGGTTTATTAATAAACAATTGTTTATTTGATATACACTTCCAATCACTTAGACTACCAGATACTGACAACTACAATTATTAGACTAATTCATCTTATAATTTTATTGTATTACTCGCTTAGTTTTATACAATGATGCAATGATGTCTCTTACCTGGCATAATATCGGTTTTCTGCACCTCGATTTTTGTTCTCCTCTGTCTTTGCCTATTTTTGCAGGTTTCTTAGCACTTGTTACTCTTCTGCATTTCATCTTTGACAACATTGCACTTAACTTTTTTGTAACTATATCTGGTCATTTGCCTTGCATTCCTTTTATACCAGCAAAACCAATAAAGTGAACTTTGCACTTCTTTCAGAACTTCCACCCATCAGATTTTCTTAGTACTGTACTGTACTTTCCAACTACAGTTTGATGTATGTAGATGGAAAGTACAGTTCATCTAAAGTTCTTCTTGACTATATTTGTTTTTTAACGCTAGTTAACTTTTCCACTCGTCCGCTGTCTGCATTGCTTAGTTTTGCTACTTAACATATTGTCATGAATTGTGTATTTTCAGGTACAAGATCAGCACGTCATCTGGGGGAGGCTATTGTGACTGTGGTGACAGGGAAGCTTGGAAAACTGATGTATTCTGCGATATTCATGTTAAGGGTCAAATGGTTCAACAATTGCAAAACCCATTAGAAAAGATACCTGCAGATTTGGTAAGTTCAATGTGTGTCAATTTTTACGGTGGCCGTTCCACTTAGGAACCTGCATTTTTTTAGTAGGGTGACCTTGTTTAATCTTATCTTATCATTTATCATCTTTCTAGTGTTGAGCACTATTTAAAAGATTGTTTTCAATTTGCAGCAGATGATTTAGTCCAGAGGTCAGTTAGGATGCCATGTGTGAATATTGTTAATTTTTTTTTTTTATAAAGTATACATACATATATACACAAGAGTTCTCACATTCTTGTATATCCACCCACTAGCACGCATAGCATTTCGGGCGGGTCCTTTATCCTAATTTTCCCCGGAATACGACTTTCCAAATCGTTTAACAACCAGGTACCCATTCGCTGCTGGGTGAACAGAGGCTACAGTTAAGAATTGGCTCCCAATCAATTCTAACCAGCCAGGATACAAACTCGGGCCAAAGCGCTCGAGAAGCTTCGGGAGTGTGTTTTACAACTGTGCCACGGGGACTGCAAATGCCAAATAAACAGTGCAGTGTACTGTACTGTTACATTATTGATAAATGTGAAGTATATTTGTTATTAGTCAAATTTTGTGAAGCACGGTATTTTGTTTATTAAATGAAACTATTTAAATATTGCTAGATTCTCTTTATGTACTATTTTTATGGAAGCCCACCATATAGTTTAATTAGGATCACTTCAATGATGGAATTAGTTACAAATCCATAGCTACATTTGTAATTAAAAAGATATGAAAATAAAGAAGAGAACATCGGTTATGGGCCAATAAATTTCGTAAAATTTATGTAAGATTTGAAACTCGTATTAAAAACAAATCTGAAAATTCTCTCGCTTGTTCTAATGGAGTAGAAACAGACTAGGTACACTAAACCGAACAAAACAGGGAAGCATATCCTTTACGAAGAAAATTATAAATACCATATACTGTTCTCGAAGGCAGACAAATAATTTTTTTTGTTTATTTGCTAAACTTGGAAATGCTTACTGTATATGCTAAACACACAAATTTCTTTCCATTTCAGACTGAAAGGATCCATTTAATATTTGATTGTATCCTGCCTTATGCCAAGGAACTACTTACATATGAAGAAGGATTCTCTATTCCAAAGGACTTGGAAATTAGAGAATCCGATCGTGAACCCACGAATTTATCGAGCCTTTATGACATAAAAGATACATATGTCACTATGCTGTACAATGATGAGACACACACCTATGACCAGGTTTGTGAAGAAGTGATATAACTGTAACTCATTACTCTTGTCTTGCCCTCCATGTTTGTTTTATCAAATACTGTTCCCAAGTATAATATTTAAGTTTGTTAGCTCCTCAGATATTTCATCCCCACCCTACTGCAACTCATATTTGTATCCTACAGTTCAACTGTCTCATCGGTCTAAAGATCTACAAAATCCATGAAGTCTTATTCCATTCTCTCAAGCATCATACTCTTTAATTTTTCCTACAATGTCATTAAATTTTTTTTTTATTGCACATACCATGAAACACACTATATTTTTTAATTCCTTCTCTCTACAAGGAAGACTGCACAATGTGTATACAATGTTGGTAACACATTACTCCCCATTAGTTTACTTCCCCTTTTTGTTCCAGGGGACGTTTCCTTTACATCCCTAAGCCAACCATTTATTCAATACATTAAATGCTGGGAAGATTACTCCACCTTGTCTTATGCTTGTCCTAATATTAAAAATCCTGTCCTGTATTTCCGTTTACTCTCAAATTCTCTGCTATTGATATAGAAGGATTTTGCACTTCATAGTTATTTTTTTTACTAATTTTCAGGTCATAAACACATTGGAACGAGCTATAGAATGTACACAAAAAGATGCAGTGGCATTTGCAACAAGCATAGATAGAGAGGGTCGATGTATTGTGAGATGCTCGTCCTTCCAGCAGTGCTCCCAAACTAAGAACCACATGGAAAAACAAACATCACGGGGTGGTGGACGGCCACTGAAAGTTCAGGTTAGTAATAATCTTGCCGTGTAGGTCATGGCAGTCATGTCTAACTAGAGGCAGTCTTTAAATGGTATACTGAAACAATATATGAAATGAAAGGGATAGCAAGAGGGGTTAGTGAGGTTGAAGGAGAGCAAGGAATGTGGTGATGCCTCCTGTAGAAACTCTGCTGAAGCCAACTAATAATGAGGAAGCTCCCAGAAAGGACATTCAAGCTATAGATACAGTAACTATATTACAAATATATTATTGTAAATTCTCATGTAATACAGATTGTGTTGATATAATTCAGTGTCATTCATATGTACAGTAGCAGCAATTCAGTTTATATTGTAATATTGTTCTATTGGTGTATTATGAATTAGTTTAAATACAATGATAATTTTATGTATTAAAAATTGTACAAATGTGTTTCAGGTAATGCAGACATACATCATTGCTCACCAGATGTTTGCATCAAGGCTGCTAACATGGCTTCATAACGTCCTGGAATCTGCTCAGGCATTCAGACTTATCTTCAGTGATATTGTAAACAAGGTAAGACAGAGCTCATGTCTGAAGAGATCTTAAACTTGAAAGAAATTAAACTGTATAGTCATCATTGATGACAAAGCATTGTTTTTATTTCTTGTGTAGTTACAGTACAGTACTTGAAACTTTGCTTATTCATTACACATTATTCATGTTTATTCAGTTACGATGTCATTAATTTTTTCTTGTTTGTGTTCAAACGCCTCATTTGTTAATTTTTTTTTTAGCACAAGTATTCTCAATGTTGTGGGTTTCGGAAATTCCTCCTTATGAATTTTGTAGATCTCATTATAAGTTTGTTTAATGATTATTTGCTCCATTTTCTCGTCTTCCAAATTTGGCAACCTTTCCTCTTATTTTTTAGGTCTGGGATCCATTTAGTAACAACTTTTAACATCAGTTTTCTATATGTATTGTTTGAGGGACAGACACTAAAGAGCTGCTGCCCATTTTAATTCTGGTCTCAAGTGTGACATGAATTCTTGTCATTGGTGACAACTCTGTTAGTGGCAATCTGAAATACAGAAGTAAAGACGAAACCACTTGAGATTTCAGACTGGATATCCGATTCCTGATGGACAATGTCAAGCATGACCTACTAACCAGATATGGGGAGACCACATGGAATCCCTCAATTCATGAGGGGTTCCATGGAATGGAACAAATTTAAGCTATGAACTAGGAGTCTGCAGTATGTGGAGTTCCTTGTTACTATTTTATTGATTTAACAAGATTTAATTTATATTTAATATTTATATATATTTTTGTTAAAATTGTTTTTCATGGAAAACAATTGTAATAAAAATACAGCAACATAGAAAAGTTCCATAAGATTGTGTAGTTTCTTCTAGCTTCATCATGCCTAACGGCTCTACTCACTCCTTCAGATTTACTCGTTATTTACCGTTAACATTAACTTTTGTTAACTCTTTAATTAATATTCCAGATATACTTGGTAATGTTTTATACAATGGTTGGTTCTATGTAAGTATACAGTATTAAAAATGCAGTTGATTCAGTGCATATACCTTATGTTAATTCTAATTGATTGTCACTTTGGTTTGATACAGGATGGTGGCAGCATTGTGGAGAACATCATTTGGACAGACACAAAGATGTGGAAGACAGCTAGAGTACAGTGGCACCGTCTTTTTATTTCCGGTATGCTCATGGACCAGGAGAGTAAGAAAATGTTTGCTAGGGTGAGTTTCAGGTGAAAATTTTGCTTAATGTTATACATCTGTTCCAGGCAATTACAAATTAATGGTACTAGTGCTGTATTGGTATTTATTGTGAAAGAAAATAGTTGCGATTAAATATAAATCTCATATGGACCAGTGGGGTTTCTGAATTTTATTTTTATTCCTGTGTTAAGTCTTACACTACCATGAAAACCTCTTGTGTAACTTGTTATCCACAAAGGTCATGTGCTTGGTGTTCTTAGTTCTTAGCAGTTATAAACATAATTATCCAGTATTGCCTATTAATTAACACTTTCGCACTCTTCGCATGCCCCTAGCGTCCACAATTTTTCTCGAGTCAGAGCCGTGAATGCGAGCGGCGTCTAACATTTTAAAATGTTAAAAATTTTAATTTTATTCGATCAATCTGGGAGTGGTTTTAAAATGCGCACCTTTAGACTCCGAACAATTTGATACCAAAATGAAAGATATAACATGAAAATTGATGTCAGAACACTGGAAAGAGATAAATAATTTTGTGATGTGCATCCAAAATTTTAAAATATTTGTTAAAATTCCATTTATTGCTCTATTATTATGGGACTAGTTTTAAAAAACGCACCTTTATATTGCAAATAATTTGATACCAAGATGAAAGACGTAACATGAAAATTGATGTTATTAAACTGATCGAGTATACCCATTAGGTTGTGGTATGCCAATTGGTGCTCGTTCACGGGCCGAATTTAGGCTTTGCTGTGGGGAGTCATGCCGGGCTTTTGGAAATTACCTGCAGGGAATTTATTTGCGAACACAATGATACCAAAACAAACGATGTAGCATGAGAATTAAGGTGAGAAAAGTGAAACAAGCATACGCATTTTACCAACTTTGTGTGCTCACGGGTAACTTTTGCCGAAATTAGGCTTTGCTGTGGGGAGTCACGACGGGCTTTTGGGCATTACAGTATATGCATATACACCTGTAGGGAATTCTATTGCGAACGCAATGATAGCTAAACAAACGATGTAGCACGAAAATTAATTACTTATCTATTTAATTGTCTATTTATCTATTATGTATTATTTAATTTTAATTATTAAATTTTTTAATTATTTTAATTTAAATAAGGAAAAAAATCATCTCTTGAAGGATGAGAGCTACGCTCGTGGTGTCCCTTCTTCCCAGTACTTTGTGGTATATAACGCTTTGAAACTACTAACGGTTTTGGCCTCTACCACCTTCTCACTTGGTTTGTTCCAACCTCTATACCTAAGGCCTTAACAACCAGGAGAGTTGCCCGAGTAAGCGATTGTGAGCCTTGTGTACCTTGCAGAAATATTAAATTCAACTTTAGATTTGGTTGACACACGCACCCACCAATGAAATGATCCTGGTTGATACACTGAAGGGTTAGTGTGTGCGCATAATTGGAAAATTTGCAATTTTAAGGCTGTTATCCTTTTGCTGTGGTGAATTGTATTTTACATTGTTTTTTAAACCTTTTTTTTTTTTCCTCTCCAGACTTTCACCAAGCACTATAGTAAAATGATGAAAGACTTCATACTGGATGACCATGACCATGCCGTATCTGTCGCATCACTGGGTGTGCAGCTATTTACAATGCCAACAATTGCTCATATGTTGGTGTCGGAGGAGGATGTTTTGACTCGTCTCCTCAATACCTTCTTGTCAGAATGTGAAAAGAAGCTTAGAGACAGTGAGTGTTGTTTTCATTTAAAATATTTTTTCTTTATTTGTTCCAATGCCATATCCTTGCTAATAGTCTATAAATTTATATTGTATCAGTTATGGTATGTCCCACCTTAATGGAGTGTGGAGGCATTAGCCTAGAGAAGATTACAAAGCAATATAGTTTATGGATAATTTTTAGGGATTAATTATAGCAGTATAGCTCAGGAATGTGCCTTACATATTAATACTGTGTAAGAGAGATACACAGTATTATATATAGAGCAAACGTAGGTAGTAGAGCAAGGCTGAGGGAAAGAAGTGATAGGAAACAAGTCTTATAGCAAGCAGTGTTGAGGGGAGGTGACTGTTTTTGTACAGTACAATATATGGCAATTCATTATGAGCTATTTATTGTTGTTTTAAAGAGTGAAGCTGTGGATGATTTTGTGGTGATAGTTCTGTTACGCTGTTTAGTATGAAAGATGCAGCGGGTTGGTGGATGTTGTTCTGAATGTCTTTGACCATTTCTTTGTTTTTCTGCAATATTTTCAAATCTTCCATGTGCAAGTGGCCCTTCGTAAAATTAGGAAGTGGTGTAGTGATGATGGTCAAAAGAGCACATAGTGTTCAACATAACGTATGTGGAAGCACACTCATACTTTTGCATCTATAATTCATACAGGAATAAACTCGCATGTATGCGAGTGTTTATTATGAAGTTCAGTTGTATACACAAAATATACATGCATTGCATAAGTGTATCCTGCATTGAGCATCTTGAAATATTTTGACTGTATTCCATGCATTTCACAGATAAGCTGGCCCTTGAACACCGCAGCTCAAACACGTCGTCATTCCGTCGCATCCAGTATATTCTCTATGACCTTAAGTATTTGTTAGGGGTGAAGCCGGAAGTTTGGACCGATAGTCTCCGCAGAGGGTTTCTTCACGGGTACAGTCTCCTCCTGCGCCTCCTTAGCATGATGCAGGTTGGTATCAAACTTTACATTTTTCTTAAATATTAATGTAATGCTTAAATAATTAATGTAACTTCCTTTCAATATATACTGTTGTAGTTAAAAAAATTTAAGAGTATGTAAATCATGTATTATACAAATCCCCCCTTCTATTTTCCCTATAGAGATTCTCTACATTACACATCATTATAGGTACAGTATTTCAGATATTATCCCTTTATTTAAGACAGTATTGTCAGACCTTCATTGTAAAGTTGGAAATAATTTGTTCTTTAATCACTTCAAGATGTTCCAAAACGTTTTCTATTCTTATTTATATCTGGTTCCTGTTTTTAATCGTGAAAATTGTTCTCTTCAATAGGGCATGGATCCTATGGTGCGACAAGTGGGGACACACATGGAGTATGAGCCAGAGTGGGAGTCGGCTTTCAACCTCCATATTAAACTAGCAGCTGTCATCCCACTTGTGATAGAGTGGGCTGCATCAGATCGCATTGTACTCATCAAAGCATATCGGTGAAGAATTTTAATTTGTAATTTAATATTGAATTGTTTATTTAACTGTTTTAACCCTTATATTCTGAGTTTTATCTCGACTCTCATTGTTGTTAAACCTTTATGTAACTATTATAGCCAGGCTTATAAGTAATCTTTACTGGTAGTTTGAATATAGCACTAAAGTAATTAAATGGGTGTAAGAAGGTGGCAAAATCACTAAATTATCTTGGTACTGTTGTGGTAAATCAAATTTTAACTTGAAGTATAATTTTGTTTCTAAAAATATTTTCAGGTTATTAATGAAATCCCTTGGAGACTTGGGTACAGAGGCAACTCGGAGAAGATATGTAAGGGAATTGCTCGATTATTCTGTGTCCTGCATAGAGTATGATGTCTCTTCGGCACCGGTGTCAATCCATCTCCCACTCTCGCGCTTGGTGGCAGGTCTGACCCTCCATCTTGATAAATATGGCCTTAACTACAACTCTCCCGAATTCTTGGTGAAAGGCAAACCTTCTCCTGAAGAACTAATGGAACCAGTTCTCAGAACACAAGTAATGATTGCTCAGGTAAAGTTGTATATAGTATTTTCTTTAAAGAGAGTGGCATCAACATTAACTAATTTCTCACTATGAAGTAGTGGAGTAACTTGGCCTGAAAGGATGATCAATATTATAAGAAGGTAGATATTTTTGGTGACACTTGTCATAATTCTGTAATGTCTTTGTTTGGTTCCATTTATGGTAAACTATCAGTCATGATAGCAAAATACCCATTTTAATGACCATTTCATTTTAGTATTTCTCATAAATACTAAAATTATCATGCATTCCCCTTCAAGAGATACTGCTTTCCATTATTGATGTTCATTGCTGCTTCCTGATCATTGTGTATATGTGCCAGATTTGCTCACTCCCTACATCTATATTTACAAATTTAAATTTAATTTAACACATTCTTCACAGGTTCATGCTGGGATGTGGCGACGTAATGGCTTCTCCCTCATCAACCAGATTTATTTCTATCATAATGTGAGGTGTAGACAAGAGATGTTAGACCGTGATGTGATGCTCTTGCAGATAGCCGCTACGCTTATTGATTCTAATGAATTTCTGGTGCATCTTATGAATCGGTTCAACTTGATGAGTTGGGCAAGAGAAGATTATGAAATCAACTATCTAAGGGTAGGGCACGTCTTTGTTAACAAGTCCCTCGAGTTCATATCTTGCAACTTAGGGATTTATTCTTTATTTCTGTAGTTAGTATTACAAGGACCATGTTATCTCTAGCATTGCATAGTATTGGGAAATAGGATTTATTATGCAAGTCAGCGTTTGGTGTAAAGTTTTGAAGCGAGTGAGTAAATTACAAAGTTGTTAGGTTCAGAATGTATTAATATGAATTACTTTAGCTAACCTACGGCAATCCATGGCTCTACCACATTTTCAGCCAGTGCTGGTCTTTGCTCATAAGGGAAGTTGTCCAAACTAGTGTTGCCAATGCGATGGAAATCGCTAGAGCATGCTGGACACGCTGTTCAATGATTCCCTCGATACATGTTACTGAATCTATACCAGTTGTTAGTCGCTGTGGGGGGGGGGGGCAACCATTTAGATAAATGACCAGTGAACACCAAATTTATTATAAAATGGCTCGTAATGTACATGTTTATACTGGTGGAATTCTTTTAAGATTGTCTGTTATAACTACCTGGCTGATCACCAGCACAGTAAAGACCAACCTCTTGGCGGGCACTTCAGCATCAGCAACTTTTTACTTTAGTTTAATATTTCATTAAGCCTTATATATGACTGAATTGTGGTGTTATTTGTTGATAAATGTTCTTAAATTTTATACTACAGTTTTTTCCCAAAGAAAATAATGGTTTTATTTAATTTGAAGTGCAGTATGAAAAACTTTCTTGGGTGGCTTAGGAATCGTGACTTTACCATAGTGTTGAGTTGTGCATTAATCTTTGTGCAACAAAAATTGGTTGAATTGTTTTCATCATCTTTCTAGACAAAGAGCTTTTAGTTGAAAATAGTGAGACTGAGAAACTTGCTACAATGTTGTAGTGAATGAATGAAGGTGAAGGAAAGATCCAATCTGTTTGAGTATTAAAAACCAAATTTTTGTATGTAAACTATATCTTTCCTCAAGGTACTGTACACATAGTGAGATTAATAGGGTAATGGGTTTTTTAATAATTTTTCTGTTGACTAAGTAGTATGTATTTTCCAGGGTAATGATGATGATAACATGAGACAAACTGTAGTACTTGTGGAGGAATACCTGCAGTTAGTGATGATGCTGGTGGCAGAACGCTACACTCCAGGCATCGGGCATATTGAGGAAGAAGATAGAATTAAAAAAGAGATCATTCAGCTTCTTTGTATTGAACCAATGCCACACTCTGTTCTTAACAAGGCCCTTCCTGAAGGAACCAATCATGAGACTGGAATGGAAAAGGTATATTACTGTGTTTTTATATTTATATAATGGTCTTGTCTGCAACATGTTTGACACTTGCAGAATTGTAATGTTTTGTATGACTTGTTGCAGCATTATATATATCCATTTTGTTCCCATTTTTCTCCAGTATCTCGTCCATCTTCCAGGGGGTACTCTGCTGTGTAGCACTTAGCATACTTGCTTTGCAAGCTAGAAGAGAATTTAGAATCCTGGGCAGTGTGGAACAATTGGGCACTTTGTTTGTTTCTATGCACTTGATAGTAATTGAGAACCTTGGTATAAATTTATTAGTGGACCATGTTCTAGGAAAAGCATGGTGCTATAAAACTACCCAGTTCTGGTATCTGGCCCAAGGCTGAAATTCAAACATTCTTCATTTTCTTAGCCATATTCTTTTTTTTTTTTTTTTCATTTTCTTTTTCATTTTCCAATTTTCTTCTGTGCAGATTTGAAATATTGAAAATTATTCTTGCTCCATTTTTATTTTGTACAGGTTATTGATGAAGTTGCAGATTTCAAGAAGTCTTCTGGTGCTACTAAAGGTTATTTTGAACTCAAGAAATCTTACCACTCTCACTACAACCTCTTCTTCTACCATTACACTCGTGAAGAACAGAGCAAGTCAGAGGTAGGGGGTTACTTTTGCACAGTGTTAAATAAGTTAATCACTTGGCTCTTCCTTTAACCCTTAAGCAAGAGGTTGAGGCTTATGCTGAACAGTGTACAGTTTGTTGATCACTTTGCCCACTCCTTAGTATTTTATAATTATTATGGTTTAATAAGTTTTAATGAAAATTAGTCATTAATTCATATTGCTATAGTGTATGAAATACATACATGATTCTTCTATTTATATATTATATGCCTACTTTCAGGTAGGGCAACGTGCAAGGAAAAAAGCAGCTGGTGAGGAGGAATGTTGCCCCCCTCCCGTCCCTCCCCCATTCACAGTGCCATTTACGATGATAGTCAATATTCTCCAGTGTGACGTGTTCCTCCACATTCTCAAGACGGTTCTGAAGAGGTTAGATTAAACGAGATTTCTTTGCATATGACTTTTTTCTATTGTTTGGTTCTTAAGTATAATTGTAATATCTCTTTGTTTTTGTATTCTTATCTTCTTCTAATCTTCTATCAAGAGAAGATTTCTAACTTAATGGTAGGGCTATCTTTCAGATAACTTTTTAATAGGCCAAACAATTTTGTTACTTAAATTGTCAAAATATTTAAGTGCTCTCCCACCATTTATCACTTATTTATCGCTTTGATTTGATTTAGACAATTTTTCTTTTTTCTCCTTGTATTCTCCTGCTGCACAACAGCTTGTATACAGTAGACTGGTCTTTATTGTAATATTTTCTTATCGATTAAGTGGAAACATGAGCTCTTCAAAAATCTTGCATTAAAGTTCAGTATTATTATTACTTCTCTGGCATTGGGCTTTTGATAAGTGTGAACCTAATTTATTAGGACACATGCCAAGCTCAATTTTGAATGCTGGTTTCTGATAATGAAACTCATTTCTTAATGATGATCCTAGTGTTGTATTGTAGTACTGTAGTATGACTAAGATTTATTAATTGATATTATAACAGAATGAGTGAAACCAAAACTCAGAGTGTGAGCGAGTCTCAGCTACAGAAGACTCTCCACCTGATAGGCTACGCCCTGCACGAGGAGGAACGCTATCACCGCAACAATGATCCCTACTTCCACTTCACTCGTCGCGCCCAAAAAATTAATCTCTTGTCCCTACTTGAGGGTTTGGTTGGCCATAATCGAACATCAACACACAAGGATCTCTTAGCTTGGACAATTAGAAAGTGAGTATAAATATACAGTAATTGGGTGGAAATATTGGTTTTTGTGCAGTCTTCAGTTGAAGTTAAAAGAAAATTATTTTTTTTTTTTTTTTTTTTTTTTTTTAGTATCCTTTGACATACCCAGTTTTATATATATGGTTCACAACAATAACTATTTGTCAGCATTATAAAATTATCCAAATAGTTGTATCTAAAGCTGTACATATTAAATTTGGTAATTAAAAAAAAAAAAACTCCATGTTGCCGTATATAATATTAGTACTGTATACACTTGTGAATGATAATACAATTTTTCTAGTGTAAATAAATGCTTACATATCCATATCACTTCATCAGGTACCATGCAGTTCTTAACCTATCTATGGACTCGGCCAAGCAAAGCCAGGCATCGGAAGCAGTATTGGCTTCAACCTCTACTTCAGAGTTGGCCACAGCCTCGGCTGAAAAGAAGCGGAGAGCTGATATTGCTGCCCAGAGGAAGGCTCGAATTATGGCCAAGATGGCATCGATGCAACAAAATTTCATAAAGACAAATGAAACATTTTTCCAGGTTAGGGGAATGATACTGTAATAACACTAATTGTTATTTTAAGTAAACACGGCCACGAGCAAAACTATTTTAGGCAACTAGGCGAGTAGTGCAGAAAAGAAATACACAAACACAGGCTCAAATGCACATGCAGAATGCTCAAACAGATACACAGCTCACACATCACTCGTCCAAAAGTGGCTACTGGAATATAATGCCCCAAGATTTTAAGTAGTGTAATATCCTTTGGGAAGAGTGAAGAGACAGTAGAGTACCTCTCTTGATTGCAAGAGAAGCAATTGCAAGATTTAAAAGCAGGAAAAAATGCCAAAGTGGGCGTAATAGCAGCACTTTACTCAAAACTAATAAACAAGGATGGCTTTAAAGAACTGAAACAGTGAATTCTTTGGAATGTAAGATTCATATACAGTATTGAGTCAGCCCTAGAACATGCAGCTCAAGTGTAAAATTTCCCTGGTAAAGGATGACCAAAATTTAGAAAGTGTATTGGTATGTCAAAAGACGAGTACCAGAAATGAGCTATTGAGGACAGATTAAGAGAAAAAGACGAGGTAATGTGATCATAATGCACAAAATGAAGGAAATAGACAAATTGTATAGTTATTCAGGTGAGGGAGAACAGAATGAGGAGGTGCAGGTGGAAGTTGCAAACATAAGAGCCAGAGAATAGTGAGGTAAATATTGTGCAGGGAAAATGATGAACTGTAATAAACTTGAACTAATATGGTAGAAAAAATTGCCATTCACAGCTTCAAGACAAAAGTATTAAACAGCACAGTACATGAAACGGATTATAAAGGCTCAAAGTACAAAAGCTAGGAGGTAATGTTATTGAAGTAGATCTCGGCCTATAGTCACAACTAGGCAAGCAGCGCGCACCCTATCATAATACTTGACTACATGGTTGAACTAATGTAGAGGACCAAGATGGTTAGTGGGTCCAGAAGAAAGTTAAGATTACAGGGGAATACTGTAATCTAGAACCGGCTGCGAGGACGCTAAGCCCTGAAAACACCACAAGGTAGAAGGGCTCCCCTATGGGAGGCCCTGTGAGAGTGACATAAAGGGAAATACAACAAATGATGTAATACCTTACATTTGGTAAAGCTGTAGTTGAGAAGAGCAGGATTAATCCATAGGTAAGGTGTGAGGGGGAATATTCTCGCAGCAAGCAATACAGGTCTTCAAGATAAAATCAGAGTGGAGTGCTGAAATGGGCTAAGATAGATAGAAACCACAATGAGGGACACGAGTGGTATTAAATAATTGGATGATAGAATTAAATGTAATAAAGACAGTAGGCCAGGCTTAAATATTGCTATGTCTACTGGAAGAGAGAGCAGATCTTTTATGCAACTCACTAAATAGGGTCTCTTGATTCAATTCAATTGTAGATATTGTTAAATTATAATTGAATGTGTTTACTTACTAACCATTGATCAGTGCATACTGTATTAAATCTGATTCTTTGTTCTTTATTGAACTTATCTTTACTTTTAATTGGTTATTGTGTATTTTAAGTCTTCTGTTTGTGCTTAATTTCTGAATTCTTGCATAAAAATTACCCTTTACAGTATTTTTTTTATATGCATAAATAGAGCAGTATATATTGCTGTTGTACCTTAATTGTCTACTTCAAAATTACAGGTGCAAATGTCCCACTTAAAAATTTACAAAAATGTTTTATAGTTTTGTTATTTTCTAAATGCTGTACATGGTTTTTCTTTTATTAGGAAACTCCTTCAACGGAACAGACATTGGACATTGTAGAATCGACACCCATGGATATAAGTGAACAGTTGCCAGAAGACATGATTGCTATTGGTCCACGCCAGACACTAAGACCTCCACAGGAAATTACGTAAGTGAAAGCAGTTCTGGATTTTGCAGTACAGTACACTATACTGTACTTATTTTTTAATGAATAAAGCTGATAGAATTTAAACTGTTTAGTAATTTAATTTAAATGATTCCTTTTCATCTGTTGCAGGTACACTTGCATACTTTGCCACCAAGAGGATATTGTTGGTAAAGGAGATGGAAACACAGGGAGACCCATGGTTCTAGGTGCTCTAATTCAGAGATCTACAGTACTGTCTCGCAATCGAACCCGCCATTTGGACCAACCAGAAAATCATGACCCATTGCTGTTACCAGCAGATTTACATTGGGGTGCGCATACCTCTTCTTGTGGACACGCTATGCACGCGCAGTGTTGGCAAAAATATTTTGATGACGTGCTTACCAAAGAGAGGCGGAGACCGTATCGGTGAGTACCCAATTTATTTTATCAAGTCTGTATTCAATAAAATGGTGGTGGTTATATTTAATTGCATGTGTGAAGGGAAGGGTTTTCCCAGCTGATGATGATGGGCAAATTGCAAGGCTCATAGGCATGAATCGCTACTTTCATGTATTGATAAGTGCTCAACTTGCATGCCTGGGTCCAAAAGTCTTGGATTGTGAGAGAAGACCAGGCATATAGGGTGTTTATGGATAGCTGAACAGTAGTTGCCTAAGCAAGGATTAATGCACAGTGGCCATTGTTGGGCTAATTAGGACCAATTTAAATATTTACTCATGCCTCTTAAGAGATGGCAGCCACATTGAAATGGAGTGATCTGGTAGTCAGACACGAGGGGAAGACCCAAGGAAGCAATGACACTACTGTATGTGCAACAGAGTGAGAGATGGGTACAGAAAGAAATGTGCCTCCGCATTTTGGGAGCCATAGGATGGCAACGTCTGTGTGTTCATGTCATTAAGGCAAGGCTTGCAAGAGAGGAAGAAGTGACCGTTACTACTGGCTAAGCTCACTTATCCAAGCTATAAGGGAGGGGGCCCCTCACTGGATAAGCCAGATATCTGGATAAGCAGAATTCTTACCAAGGAAGTCCAAAAGTTACCATTTTCGCAATTTTTTTTTTTGTACCTCAACCAACCTAATTAGTTTCCACACACACGCCATAAAGACAAATATAATATAAATCAAACTTAATTACCTTGTAGTTCGTCTTTTTGTCTGGTATTGTAGTTCTTGAAAATTTACGTAACATAATCTCTGGTTATCCGGATATGGTTAAGTTTTGCCAGAAAATTTTCCAGGTGCGATTTTTACTGGATAACCCAAATATTCGGTTCAGTGGGCTTCAGATGAGAGCTCTGTAGTCATCAGAGATGACTACATGTAGGTTTGTCAGTGAATGCCAGCTTGAGGTTGGTAGCTAAACGTCCTGTTCCTGGGTGACAGGCTGTGCCTCTTGCGCCAAGTGTATTCATCCATAGTCTGTCATCAAACGTCTAGGTACTGTTTTGGGTTTTTGGTGGCCTTTATTTATAACACAATTTACGTTAAAGCAATGTACAGTGCTAATAAAATAAAGTAAAAATGTCTAATATTAAAAAAAATTTAAGCTACATGTACTGGCTGTATAGCATATTTCGTTGCTAAAATGGGGGATTTTTTCCATCTGGCTGCCTATGTATCTTGCCCTGAGCAGACCCATCTCTTCCCTGTGAACTTTGCCCCTGTATAGTAAAAGTGGAGAGAACTCTTGAAATAATAGGTAAATAGAGATGTATTAATTGCTGCTTGATAGGTGTATAGTACTGTAGTGAGAAGCTATTTAAGGGACGGGGAAAACTTTAGATTACAGTGGCATGAATTTTCAGACTATTAATGCCAAGGTAAACGACCAACTTTTAGCTTTATCTTGTACTTAACATGATTGTAATTTTACATTAGTTTGTCTAATGAAAAATAAATAGTAAGGTCATTAAATAATAAATTCTTAAGTCTGCCTTCAGACAAGCTGATGTCAAATAACAGTATTATTCTTAATGAATCCTATAGTTTATAAAATGAGACACTGTACTGAAAGCTGAAGGGGGAGATCTAGAGGTAGATGCTGAGAGATGGAGATCTAGATGCTGGGAGATGTTGATATAGAGAGATATAAGGACATCTAGATGCAGAGAGCAGGGTAAATGCTGAGATGGGCAACAGTTGCAGCAATGTGTTAGTCCTTAATATACAGACTAGCTTATGAAGCTTTATTTACAACACATTTATTCTGATCTTAACAATCCTAGCTGGACTAAATAGGGATTTTGGTGAGCATTCTTCTAAGTGACTCACCGTTATCTTAAACATGAAAGAATTTCCATGTGGGATGAATGGATTGAGAGAGAGAGATACTATAGGTTGGGGGTTGATGGAAGCTGGGAAGGTTGAATAAACATGCATTTAAAGAGTCTAATGATATCTGATTGAACCTGGATGGAATCGTTTCCACCTAAATGGGAATTGAATATAATACGGATTGTACGGATTTTGATTATCAAATCAAACTGGTAAAGAGTTAAGGGGCACATTTTTGGCAGTAAAGCATTGTGTTACAAACTAGAAAATAAAATAAAATAAAAAATCTCAGTACTGTAGTTTGAAAATAGGAAAGCCATAGCTTAACATTTTTATAAAGGAGAAAGTAAATAACTTATATTGTATTGTTTTGTACTATATTTTTAATGGCTTTACACATATAAGATATACAGTAATTAAATATACAGTACTACATTTAAAAAAATATATAAATATTTTAATATATTACATTTATAACTCCTGTCACAGTTCAGAAGTCTTGACCATAAATATGCTGCATCTTTATACATAATCAAACTTGTTAATACAAAGAAATGCACAAGAGTAATGTCTGCAACCGATTGATTATTCCCTGATTATTGACAATCTTTTAAACTGAGAATATTGATAGGATTTTTGTTGTTGCAATTACCATATATCACACTTGTCTTTAATAGTGTTCATTTTGGTATCTTCATCACAAGCAAATACCCTTTGGAAATCAGGAGTGTTGGAAAGTGTGGCCCTAACTCTTACAGAATGTGGTGGGTAATGGGCTACACCTTTGGGTGGAATACCATTAATGGATGCAGCACAAAACAGTTGGGCATATTGCAAGAAGAATAATTGATCCGGTGAAAGGTGTAGCTCGGTCAAAAGCTCACTTATTAAGGATGGGAGTTTTGTATTGGGGAGCTTGCTTTGTATTGTTCTGTAAGCATTTCCAATGCTGCCATCATCTGCCATCACTTCAGCGATGGTTAAAAGACCCTGAATTGGATAGTAGTTCTCAGTGTATTGGTTAATACGACATAATACTTTCTCAACAAAGTCGACAACAGTTTGTTCATCCCACATGGTGGCATTAGCCCTACCATACAGGTCTCTAGTGCGACCCACAAAATCAATAGCATGTCCCAGCTCATGACTGATGAATGTACCCATTGTGGCATATGAGAGTGTTTCTGGAAGATCAGAGTTGTACAGAGGGTACATGAATCCTCCCAGTGGTATGAGTAAAGTATTTCTACGATACACGTAAAAGCTGATCAGGGACATCGGCGACAGAATTTCCCACTCGCTGTAAGCTCCTGGCTGTCTCAAGAACCTCATTTGCTGATTTTGATTAAATTTTAACAAGTTTATTTGATTATGCAATAGATTTTTCTTGTTAAAGTTTAAATTCTCAAATAAACTGTGGAGCTCAAACATATCATCAAGGATTGGTGGGTAACCTACAAGTATGTTAACATTTCTTAATTTCTCAACCAGCACACTTTTAGCCTTCGAATTCAACCACTTGAAGGAATCTATATAACTTACATATTCGTTTCGGATGTTATCGGCCATTTGTTCCACTTTCTTTATCATGCTATGGATGGTTGGTCCTTGTTGAAGCTGCTCCTTGATAATTTCCATTAAAAGGTAAGCAATAGGAAGTGGGAGTCTCTCTTCCAGTTCCTTGATACATGGTCGAAAGCGAAATTTTGGCAAAGCAGTTGCATCTTCTCCAGTTATGATGTCAAATAATGGTAGGACTGTATTCCTGGCTTCCTTGTGAAGAAATTGACTGTAATATTGCACCACCTGCCAGCGGAGAAATATATACAATCTGTCTGACCCATTATGTGAGATTTCTTCCATTATTTCAATGGAGATGGCTGCCAAATAATCCTGAATTAGAGAGAGTATGCGTTCATTTATGGTAATGAATGTACCCACATTGTTGAAGCCTTTGTTGAAATACTTTTGCCAGTCTAAAAAGGGTGCAACACTGTTCAACTCTTCAATATTTGTATCATTCACCAGCAAAGAACCACCCACTGGCTGGTGAATTTGCAAGAGTTCAAGGATAATATGAACCTCGTTTTCCACACTGTTGTTGGCAAATGTGCCAACCATTTCAAGAATATCTGAAGCATATTGCTTATATACTGTGATAAGTTCATCGTTGCCTCTGACAACAGTGCCTTGTGGCACCAGATCCACGCTTGGTGTTGTTAGTTCAATAGCCATGGCATTTGCAATAGTGTTGTCAGTCTCGACCTTCCAACTGAAGAAGGCATGTATGGCTAGGTCATAATGGACATATTCCAGTATCCTTTGGAATGCTTCCAAAGGTTGCGACTGCAACTTAATACGCTGGTATTCTTGGTCCATTTGGTGAAGAACGTCTTGAAGAGGGCCAACACCAAGCAGAGCCAAATTAGTTTCATTTTCACATGATGCATAATAGTCGGTCACTAATTTCCATACAAAAGTATCGGCTTTATTTAAACGTGATTTAGTTAAAGGTTCATCAAATACAGTTTGTAAATTGGTTTTATAATTCACATTTTTGTCACTGTTATTCATAAAAGCCTCCAGCTCTTCTTCCATCATATCCCAGATTCTGACAGTCATTGCCTCGAAGTTACTCCAACTTGATACTCCTTTTGGAGGAGGATGCTGCTCTTTCCAGTTCCCACAGGCATATTGGTAGAAGTCATCACAGGGCGGAACACTCAAATTCATGGCACCTCGAATATTATCGACCACGTAGCTGTAGAAGTCGTGGAGGTCAGGCGAGGGGTCTGATGGCTTCTTGAATGATGGTCGCAACTCATAATCTGGGGACTCTAAGATTTCTTTAAGATTTGCTTCATCCTCTCTAATAGTGTTTGATTGAAATAGTTCGCCAGCTGAATATTTGGGATGTTGGCTTCTGTTAGAGTAGATGGGTGAGGGTGAAGTAGTAGTAGTAGTGAGGAGCGGGAAGAGGACAATGATGAGAACCAGGCCAGAGACGACTACACCTGCAATGCTCACCCCTACCATCCATTTCTCTGGGTACCTCCGGTCCTGTTTCTCAGTCCTCCCATGCTCGCTGTCCACGGCGCCTACCCTACAGGTAGCCGATCCTTGTCGTCGATCTCTCGTGAAAGATAGGAATTTAGAAGGTAACAAACTCGCCAACCGTCCCAGGCGAGGTCTTTGCGAGTCCTGCGTATTAGGACCGGGTTGCGTGGTGTCCACGGTGTGGGGGATTTGTCTGGTATTAGGCCTTTGGTGCTCATGACTGTCAGCGTCTGTCGGCGATGGTCCTGGATCATGAACTCCCATAGTTGATTTTCTGAATTCTCCTTCACTATTGCTTGTCGCTGGAAAGAGCTCTCAGGAACTGATAACTTGTAACTTGAAGTGTGGACACTGTATACAGTACAAATACAACTTGTAGAATCATGACAAATCGCACTTTGTATGCTAGATACTGGGCGGGTCCTAAGGTCGTACAGTCATTTCTTGTATAAGTTTCATTATCACTTTATTGCCATTAGCTTCATATCACCGGTAGTAAGTTGCTGTGGTTAAGTGTTCCAAATATGAGTTTAGGACGTAACGAAATGGTTTAGGAGGGTTTGCCTCGTGGGGCGGAGAGAGGGAAGCGCAGTATTATCGCGCATGTAAGCACATGTGCAGCACCTCCCGGCAGCACACCACTGGAGTGACTGAGGCAGATGACTGGTCGCGAAACGGCTCACTGGAACCTACACTACCTCTTAACACTTTCGCGCTATCTGGACGCGCCGGCGCGTTCGGTTTCGTCTAACGTAAACGCATAGTGGACATAAAGTTATGTCTACTTTTAAAATATTTGTATAAAATTCAATTTTTATCCGATTTACTTTGGGTTTGTTTCAAACTGCGCGCTATGAGGCTCTCTTTCTCACCACTAGGCTGCATGGTACAATAAGTTCATGAAAGGTGTGGATAACTTCGATCAAATGGTATTTTGTCCCAAACGGGTTGCAGGTGGGTGACTTTAGCCGTTTATACTGGTAATTCTTCCCCCATATCATGTATTATATGCATATGTCTGTTTAGGGAATTTTATTCCGATCAATATACAACCAAAAATAACTGTGTGCAACAAGTATAAACTTGACAAACATTACAAAAGTAAAAATATTTCGTGTGTGTTTGACGCTCACTGATATGTTCCAGCGTTGTTTTATATTTGTCGCTATTCTAACTTACGCTTTGTTGATATTTTTTACCTATGGGCACATAGAACATTCTATTGCGAACACATTGACATAAAAATGAATGACGTACATAGAAAATTAATGTCATGAGAGTGAAATAAGTATAAACTTTCAAAGCGCCGTGCGTCGTCCCGTCACCGATACCGGGTAACAATTTCACCACTTCCCACACTCTTGCAGGCGGGCTGCATCATTATTCTACGCTTATATTCATATCACCGTGTTGGGAATTTCATTGCGAGTCCATTGATACCAAAATTAACGCTGTAGAACAAGTGTGGAGGTGATTACAATCCCAAGAGTAAAAACATTTTGTTGCTGATGGGCGCTCACGGCGAGTCATCTACGTAGTTATTTATTTGGTGCTGGTATCCCTATATGTTTCGTGACTTATTTTACTGATGTTCTTCTAGAGAATTTTATTGCGAACACGTTGGTACCAAAATGAAATACGTAGCATGAGAACAAAGGTCAGAAGAGTAAAAAGAGTATACACATTTTTGTTTTTACGCTTAAGCGATAAAAACGCAGCGCGCACATTCGGTTGGCTGAGTGACCTTTGCGGAGAGCGCGAAAGTGTTAAGTTGCCAGATTACACTAGAATAATTTTTATATTGCTTGTTATTCACCTATATTACAATTAGTTGTATTTAGTAAACCTGATAATAAACCCAAGGTATTTGATGTGTTCAGTTTATCCCGGGGGGAATTACTCTCGTTACCAAGGCGGTGAAATATTACCAGCATGATAAGTTCACTAGTCTATATTGACCCGTGCGACGCATCCCTTGGGTTAAACACCATATTACATAACCATACAAATCGGCAGTTAGATATAATTGAACAGAAAGATACAAATGATTAAACTTAATAGGGGGTCACTTTTTTCTCAAGGAATATTCCTGAGCGGGCCCTAAGCCTCTGGCTGGCCCACTAAGAGTTTCTTGTTTCTGTTTTACTTAGGCGGTGTACGAGTATATGACTCGTATGTACAGTAAGATTATGCCCAATGTGTTTAACAATTTCTTCTGCTGTGTTGAATTTTAGTTGAAATCTCACTGGGTTTGTAACTGTGCGCTGTGTAACTCGTTTCTAACACCGCCACCCCACAGGGTAGACATGAACGTCCGTAGTAAGGTCAAACTTAAGTGATAAGCATAAGGTTGGGTTTTCTAGTAAGTAGGTTGGGCAGTTTTACGGTGGCAGGTGTTGTGTGTACACAACGCAGCGCTCCCTACATGTGCGTGGTTACTTACAACACTCTTGTGATACCATCCTAAATGTCGCACAGGGGCCATGATGCCGGATGTGAGAAGGCAGGGTGCCTCTCCTCCCCTCCCGTGTTTGGCGAGGCAGAGAAAACTGGTTGCTGCCCATTTGAAAGTATATGGTCGGGGCGGGTTTTCTTGCTAGGGTGGAGGCGGTGGTGTGGGGGTTAGTTGTGCGCGCGCGCGCGCACTAACGTAGTCGGGTCCAGGTGCTGCGTCAGATGAGCTGTAAGGAAAGGAAGAGAGAACTGCATTGAAACACGCTAGAGAAGACAAGAGGCTGACGTGATGTAATACATAAAATTCTTAAGGAAATTAACAGGGTAATAAAAAGGTACTTTTTGGTTTTACTTTTGACTAAAGTATAGGTTGGATTTTTTTAATTCATTACCGAGTGAGTTAAGAAGAGGTTTCGAATCTGAATTAAAATCAAGGCAAAAGATTTTGTAAGTAAATTGCAGAGAGAATGTGAGGAGTGAGTGTATGTAGATTCGGAGCGACACGTCATAATGTCAGGAAGATCAGTAGGAAATGAACTAGACGAGGAAGTAGAAGCCAACGTCACTGTTTCACAAGCTGAATGAGAGTTTGCAAGTAGGAAGTCGGTTCAATTATTTTCTATCAGCTGAAAATGGTCGAAGTTTGTCTACATGTCAAATTATGTAAGCACGCTTGTACGCCGTAGACACACGCACACCACATGTGTATCAGCTGTGGTCTTGTAATTCATCAAAAGTGGAGCCACGTGCGTGAATTGAGACAGCATCAGTGTGCGTGTTGTAGCCTCCTACACCTTGCCTGGGAGATGAACCGGGTACGCTAGCGAGAAGTGTTTACTAGAGCGAAGCAGCAGGCAGGCGGCGGTGTGGAGCTGCCTTTCCTAACTTTATGCTCGTGTTCATTGATGGATGTTAGCACAAGTCACTCCGGTTCATGTTAGGCTAGTTTTAAAAAAAAATTTTTCTTTGCATTACTTTCTAATTAATATAGGCCTAATTTTGTATGAGTTATGTAGCGTTTTAGGTTATAAAAAATATGCCATTCATTACATAGAAGACGAGTTGGTTTAAGTTGGTGAAACTTAGAAACTTTAGTTTTTATATTCTCGCTGACCCCAATGTCTCGTGATATTGGTCTATCCAGTTCTCTATCCCTTGATCTTGTTTGTCTTGCTCTTTATCTCTCTCTCCTCTCCCCTCACCCCTGTGTTCATGGCGTGTTCACAACCCTATTCCCTCTAACTTTCCAATGATATGTGATCGTGTGGGCTCTAGCCACAGACGTCTCCCTGGCTGCCCCAACATGGTGAATGGCATCTTGGAGTGTGGAGAGAAAGTGGTGATTGTCGGGTGGGAGGGAGGGTAGAGCCAGGAGGTAGTGGTGCCGGAGGTGGGGGTATGGGAAAGGTGCCGTGGGACACCCTGGATATGGGGAGGGGGGTGGAGGGTTGGATATGGGAAGTGGGTGCCGGGAATGTGTGAAGCCTCATAACAGCCCAGCCTCCTAAAATGATAGTACTTGTAGCAACTATTTGATCAAACATATCGGTGTGTACTGTTGGGCCCCCCAAAAAAGTTCACGTTAAGTATTACAGAAAACAGCTCAAGTGGGTTTCTATTAATTAATTATATTGGAAATGTAAGTGATGAACCTAACCTGTCTTAAGCAATCCTAGGCCTAATACACGCTATCTCAGGCCTAATTTAATACATGTGTAATGTTAGGCCTAGGATTTTTTAATCTAGTCTTTAGCTTTTTTTATTTTTCTGAATCTCTTAAATTAATAGTACGGACAAAAACGTTTTTGCTCCAACACTCCATACCGTTACTTTCGAGCAAATAGTGGTTTTATGTGCTCCCATTTTGGAGGCTGTGCGGCATGATACACGGTGATCGGGTAGGGTTGACCACTTCTTGAGTTTCCCGTTTCGCAGAATTGGCAAATATTGACGTGGTGTAGGACTGTCGCTAGTAACTCTTAAGATTCTAAGTTGGCCTGTGTTAGTTATCTGGTCTCGCACGTAGTGGTGGTAGGGTTATTCTTCCACCACAACCCTTCCTTCCCGATTATAGGGTCCAAGTCCTGAGGAAATTTTCACCAATCGACCCGACCCAACTCGACCAAAATGAGAACATTGTTTTTATATATAATATGCACAAAAGTGTGATGTTGCTCATTTTATTCTGGTTCAGGTTTTAGATACTAACTACCCTTGCTATCACTACCTGCCTGCCTGCCTTGCCCCACTTCGTGTATTGCAACGTTCATTCCAGTGTGAATTAGATCTCTAACCTAAGACACTCCCCCCACATTCCTCAGTCCCTGGCGAGGTGTCTGACGGCGTTGAGGTGGGTTGAGACACGACCTACGTCCAGTTGGCATGCGCACGCATGCAGGCCACGACTGGCTGACCACTGCCACCTGCAAGGCGCTCAGCGTTCGCAGGGGTTAATGCGTTAAATGCTGTATTTAAACTTTATTTTAACTTTGGTGGCGATGAGCACAGTTATCAGAACGTCTCGGGGTGATATAGGAGAGGGGGAATGGAAAGGCGGTCCATGAAGTAATGACGGTAACATAGCTGGAACAAATGAATACTGGAATAATGAATGCAATTTCGACTTTATTATCCTGGACGAACCTCGGTCTACGCCATTTATTTCTGTGGTTATAGAGTTCGGCGATTTAAAGCCGCCACTGACCTTGTTGTTTTAAGAGCATGAGATATAATCAGTTGGTGGCTTGAAAGTGTGGGGTGTGGGGTGGTGCAAGTTGTGTGAGCTTACCTGACTGTGACTACAGAGAAAGATCTAGTCCTTCAGGCCTCACCCAGTAGTAACCTTGATGTACTGGCTACGTTTTCATATAATCTTCCTTTCAGTGTGTTCCACTTGTTGACTACTCGGATAGGGAACGTTTACTTTCTTAGATGTTGCGTTTCCAACTTCCTCTCATGTCCTTCTCTTATACTTTGTCTTTAAATAGAGGTTGCCCTGGTCCACTTCGTCTTATACCTTGTGAGGGGCTGGTGAAGTTTGTGACCTCAGCTTGAGAGGGGAAGGGGAACAAGTTGAAGTTCCTGCAGTTTATTCTGTGAAGATTTCACGTAAATGAATTGCTGCCTGTTCTTCACATGCTAAATCTGAATGTGTTTTTGACACTAAGCCGAGACATTAGAGATGTGCGGGCTTGGGGCACAAGTCATTCGCGTG